GGGGGGTAGGGGGGGTTAACTTCTCAAAATGTCCACGTATTTTTGGATTTTACTATAAAATCAAAAAAGCGAACCCTTTCTGGCAATATCTAACAAAAACGAAGGATTACCCAAATTGGTGGTTGACAAATATTTTAAAATAGTTTAAAATTAGAAGTGTGAATCGAGCTTTCAGTTTTCCAGCAGATAAAAAAGGAGACATTTCTAGAACTTTCTAAAACTCTAAAAACATAGAAAATTCTTGACAAAACTATTTTTTCAGACATCCCTGTCTTCAAAGCGGCAAACGTAGGCGTTTTAGGGGTTCAATTCCCCGCTGCCGCATCCAGTAGTGTTGTGTAAAAACCAAACACGCCGGACAATAACCACGTCCGTTCTACTGCGATAGGTTCATACGCGAGTGAGACGAACCCAGACACTGTGAGGACACTCGGAAGACCAAAAAAGGCGTTAGCATTTCGGTGCTAACTTTGTGGGTTCCACCACGCCACGGGTTCCTTGTGGTGTGCATGCCGTCTATAGCTTCTGCACCGTCGCAGAGTTCACCAAAGGCTATAGGCAGGCTTAGGACACAACGGTGTCCGTAACAAGGGGTAGGATCCCTCTAAAAGTCTATGCATTCCATAAAACAGATATGTGTAGATTTTTAGGAACAGACAATCATGGCAACCACGATTCGCCAGAAAGATGGCGTTGCAATCTTAGAACCGAGCGGAAAAATAATGGGCTCCTCAGTATCGGAATTACGGGAGGCAATCACTTCACAGATAGACGCCTCCGAGACACCGCGCATTCTCATCAATTTTGATCGGGTCAACATGATGGATAGTTCAGGTCTCGGCACTTTGATGGGTGCCCATGTCGCCGCAACGCGAAAGAAAGGGCGTATCGGTGTCATCAACGTCGGAACAAATATCAAAAATCTGATTGTCCGCAGTCGGCTCGTCAGTATCTTTGAACATTTCGAGACCGAGGATGCTGCAGTTTCGGCACTATCAAGCGAAAGTTAAGTGCCGTGATTGGGAAAGTCCACCCATAATCTAAACGCGCAGTAGCATTAGGAGTACACTATGGCAATCACCGTGTCTGAGAAAGAAGGGGTCGTTATTTTCAGACTCAGCGGCAGAATTATCACCCCGGGAGTTAAAGAGGTCTCGGAAACCGTAGAGGAGGCACTCGCGGTGCACTCCTCACCTCCGAGACTGGTGTTTGACTTTAAAGAAGTAACTGGAATGGATAGCTCTGGGCTTGGCATGCTTATGAAAATCTATTCTCAGATCCACCCGAGCGGGGGGAAAATGGCAGTGATTAATGTGAACAAACGTGTCAAGAATCTCATTGTCATGGCGCGGTTAATCACCGTCTTTAAAAACTTTGAAAGCGAAGATGATGCTCTTGCTGCCTTGCTGCAGCACCCCGAGTGAGATTCAGTCTAATCTTGGTTTATTGTAGCGCGAGGTGCTTTGCTAACGTCGGAAACTTGTGAGTAAAGCCCTACTGCCTCGCACCCATAAGGGGATGTCTCATGATAAAAAATATCCTCGTTGCCATCGGCGATACGGATTACGAAAAAAATGCCTTTGAGTACGCAGGACAACTGGCAGTGCTTTTGGGAACACACTTGTCATGTGTTTTCTTTCAAGACAGCCAGCACGGAGGGAACGCTGATGTTGCAGCGACTGTCATACGTCGAACGGAGGCGGAGTGCTCGCTCTACGATTTCTTGGATTATCACGTTGAGGCTGTCGCTGGTAACCCGCGACAGATGATCTGCGAAAAAGCACGTTCCGCCGACCTCGTTGTTGTCGGACTCCCCGAAGATATAAGGAAACGTCGCCTCAAACTTATCCAAAGCCAAATTGACGATGTACTACTCCACATCACAAGACCTATTATTGTGGTGCACGAGCAATGCACGCTCTTGCGGAAAATACTCGCTGTACATCATGGAGACGCTTATTCTGATCATGCCTTCGGGCTCGTCGCTGAAATCGCGGAATTGACAAAAGCCGGAATATTAGGACTCGCTCTTTCAAGCACACAACCGGAGGCAGTCCCAAATTAAGCAGCAGATGGAAGCGTATTTGAAATATTATGACGTTCAAACTGACTTCCTCACTGCTCGTGGCTTTACAGTAACAAACATTTTGGAAAACGCAGAGGAAAATGATTGTGACCTCATTGCACTGAGCGCAAGTCATCACGGGAGATTGTACGAACTTGTTTTCCAAAGCACTACCCAAACTGTTGTAAAACTGGCAAACCGCGCAGTCCTCGTAACGACATAGATTCACGGGACTCACGAGGTGCTCTTACCTCGCATCTTGTGGAGGTAAACATGAACCTTAAAAGCACAACTGGCAAGCACATATTAACGGATGAAATCATTGAACCGCGCTGTTTTTTGGAAATTTCCACAGATATGTTCGGGTATATCAGTTGTGACGGTAGTTTCGTCGCGTTCAACTCGGTATGGGAAGAAATTCTTGGATTCACACGATTAGAACTTCAAAACTCCGAATGGTCCTCGTTCATACATCCGGAGGAACGGGAGGAGGTACTCACCGAAATCGAAGAGGTGAAAACAGGAAAACGCGATATTATTACCTTTGAAAACCGGTTTCAGTGCAAAGACACGTCCTACAGATGGTTAAGATGGTGTGCAATAAAAGATGCCGAAAAACAACTCTGTTACGTCGTCGCAACAGATATAACGCCGCAAAGGCAGTTAGAAGCCAGATTGAAAGAGAGTGAAACCCGGTTCCAGCAATTGGCGGCAAAACATGTCCATGAAGCAGATCTGTTACATACCCTGATGGAAAACACCCCTGACCACATCTATTTCAAAGATACAGAGAGTAGATTTATACGAATCAATCGCTCTTTAGCAGATCGGTTTGGTTTAAAAAATCCCGTAGAGGCGGTCCATAAACCGACTTTGACTTCTTCACCCGTGAACATGCTCAACAAGCATATCAGGACGAACAAGATGTCATTGAATCTGGGAAACCAATTGAGGGGAAACAGGAAAGAGAGACCTGGCCCAATGAACAGGATACGTGGGTATCAACGACTAAAGTCCCAATTCGAGATAGAGAAGGACGCATAATAGGAACCTGTGGTATTTCACGAGACATAACTGAGTACTATCGCGTACAACAAGCTGTTGAGTACGCGAGTCGAGCAAAAAGCGATTTCCTCGCAAACATGAGTCACGAACTGCGTACGCCCTTGAATGCGATTATCGGGTTTGCCGAAATTCTGCGGGATGAACTCGTCGGAAGCATTAACGCCGAGCAAAAGGAATGCCTCAATGATATTCATATTAGCGGCGAACATTTGCTCGAAATGATCAATGACATCCTTGACCTTTCAAAAATCGAAGCCGGAAAAATGGCACTCCAATTAGAGACGTTCTCTATTGTTGAAGCTGTCGAGGAAGTCAACGCGATTATCACCGCACTCGCTGTAAAGAAAGATTTGGACCTTATCTTGAACTACAACCAGAATGGTATGATTGAAGCTGACCGAGTTAAATTCAAGCAGATTTTCTATAACCTACTCTCCAATGCAGTGAAATTCACGCCAAAGAGCGGTAAAGTAGCAACAGAGTTGGAAGTTGGAACGACAGAACTGCGAGCCGAGGTTATTGATACAGGTATAGGTATCGCCGAAGTAGATCAGGATAAACTCTTCGCCCCGTTTACACAGATCGATACGTCAAAGTCTCGGCGGTACGGTGGAACAGGTCTCGGTTTAGCCTTGACACACAGGCTTATCATGTTGCACGGTGGCGAGATTAGTGTGACAAGCCAAGAAGGAGAAGGGAGTAATTTCGCTCTGAGAATCCCCCTTCAACAATTAAAGCGTGAACCCAACATAGGTCTGGTAAAGTGATATAGGACAAACGAGGCAGGAGATTTGGCTCCGCAACTTCGGTTCATTTCATAACTGCTGGCTTGAATAGAAGGCAACCTGTGAAAACTGAAAACTCATCCACAGCCGAAGAACAAACAGAAACGCAAAAGCGGATATTGGTGATTGAAGACCAAGAGTTGAACCGCAAAGTTGTGCGGATTGTCCTTCAATCAAAGGGTTATACAGTCGTGGAAGCGACTGATGCTACGGAAGCACTCGCAAGCTTGGAAGACGCAATACCACAGCTCATTCTCATGGATATTGCCTTACCCGGACAAAGCGGCGAAGATTTAACAAGACGGATTAAAGCGAATCTGGCGTGGGTAGATATACCAATTATTGCCCTGACAGCCGCAGCGATGTCTGGGGACAGGGAACGCATCCTCAAAGCTGGATGCGATGATTATCTCAGTAAACCTATCGACATCAAGGTCTTAGTGAACGTGTAGAGACTCACATCAAAGGACAGAGACATGAACGAGGCAGCGATTTCCGAACAGCAAGAAAGTGCAAAAATCCTTGTTGTTGATGATGAACCCAAAAATGTCAGAATTCTCCAAATTCATCTCAACGCACGAGGATATACAGTCTACACAGCCGCAGATGGACTTGAGGCACTTGATATCGTCGAAAAGGAAATGCCAGATCTCATCCTGTTGGACATTAACATGCCGAGAATGGATGGGTTTGAAGTTGTCAAACGAATCCGATCAACGAGGCTACCGAATTCATTCCGATTGTGATGATAACCGCTCTACGGGACACCCGCGAAAATCGAATTAAGGCCATTGAATCAGGTGCCGATGATTTTATTGAGAAGCCTTTCGATAGTTTAGAGGTGCTCGCCCGGGTTCGTTCACTCTTTGCGAATCAAACGCTACCAAGATACACTCGCAGAATATAACACCCGCTTGCAAGAAGAACTCCAAATGGCACGAAGCATTCAAGAAATTCTGATCCCTCAGAATGGCGTGCAGGAATTGTCCGGATTTCGTATCGCTTCACACTGCTGTCCTGAAATGGCAGTCGGTGGGGATTTTTTTGATGTCTGGGAAATTGCACCGAATCGACTCGGTGTTTTTATTTCTGATGTTATGGGACATGGCGTTTCAGCAGCTTTCGTAACGGTCTTCATTAAAACAATTTTGGCGGAATTTCCAGCAACAAATCGAAGATAATCCAGGATATCTGCTTGAAATACTAAACACCCGTTTTAATGATTTGATTAGTTCCCGGCTGTTCATGTTTGCAACAGCCTTTTGCGGTATCATTGACCTTGATAAAGGCGACCTCATCTGTGCAAACGCCGGACATTCATTCCCATTTTTGTACAACGTACATCAACAGACATACCAAGCCATTGGCGATCAGCATACAGGAAATGGATTAGGCATTTGGCGAGATTCGGTTTATGAAACGGTACATTACCCATTCAATCGGTCGAGCAGAATGTTCCTTTATACCGACGGTGTTTACGAAGCCAAAAACCCACAGGGTGAGGAATTTACAGTGGATCGCCTCCAAGAATTAGTATGTACGTGCGCAAAAAAATCTGCAGCGGGACTCATCACCAGCGTCTCGGAGACTATTGATACCTTCACCAATAACTGCCCGAAAGACGACGATCTAACACTTATCGTCATTGAAGTTTCAGGGGAATATTAAATTTCGACATCTCTTGGTTTTGAAAAACGAAAAACGACTCGGACATCGGTTCCGCCGGCTTCGTTCGGTCGCATTTCGTACGTATCCGCGAGAGATTTAACGATGAAAATGCCGTGTCCTCTTTCATTGCTTGGAGAACGGTTCGTCTCAATCTCCGAGAGTCTGTCATGTGTTAGCCAATTCTTTTCTCCCATATGCCGCGCACCGGTATCCCTTACTAAAATTTCAAGGGCATGTGTATCAATACTCATACACAATTTAACGCCAACTGTAGCATCGGCCGAGCCATGATGTACTGCATTGCTACAGATTTCGTCAAGCACGAGTTGAATGTCTGCTACACGTTTTCTGGAGAATCCGAGGCTTTGTGCGAGGTTCCCAACAAATGCCCGAACAGGTTCTATATAAAGGGCAGCACTTGGAATTTGAAGTTGAATATCTGCTTGCGCCATGTACTAAATTTACTTTGCTTAAAACGCTGCGAGGGCACTGTGTTCTGATTCGTAGATTTCGACGACACTGGATGCACCTATGAGATTAAAGGTACGTGTTAAGTTGTCTGCAAGCGCGCAAATTTTAAGGTCGCCACCATTCTGGCGGAGCCGCTTTGCAACACCTACCAATGCACCCACAGCCGTGCTGTTTATATGACTCACTTCACTAAGATTGACAACAACCTTCTCAACTTTCTCCGCTAAGAGCCCCTCAAGTACCTTCCGTAAATCAGATGCTGCGTAGCTACTCAAATCTGTTTTTATTTCAATTACTTTGATGCCGGATTCCTCCCGGAGTTTCATTAATTTTGTTGAATCCATAGAAATCACCTCTCATAAATTAAAGCCAGTCCCGACTTAAGGAACCGTTCTTAAATTCTATCTTAAATTGATAAAAAGTCAAGCAAAATTTTGTATTTGAACCGCAAATCAGAGAGGTGTTTTCCAATGGAAGGTCTTTCTCAGAATTTAAATCGTATCAGTAAAAAATTATTGTTGATTTTCTTATGCATTTATGATATACTATTATGCAACCGATTTGAGAGTGCTAAAAGCACTTTGAATATAAGGAGGAACTGGCGGATTAACGCGGCTGCGCGTTTTTAAATGGACCAGGTATCTTAATGAACAACGAACAAGCAATACAAATGCGTCCACTGTTGATGTGGAGCAGGAAAAACATCCAACTGAGGGGTCAGTTGAAATGAATCAGGAAGTAGCGACCGAGACAGAGGCTTCAGAAGTTGCAGAAGCAGCTTCTGCAACCAACGCAGACGCTGAGGGGCATGAAGAAGCCACAAACAGTGAAGTGGAAGCGACTGCTGGCGACACCGATGTTGAAGAAGCAACAACGCTTACTGATGAAAGTACACCCGAAGAGATGGCAGAAGTGGCTGATAGCGATGCTGAAGAAGCCGATGCCGCTGATGAAACCCTACCTGAAGAGGTCGTAGAAGTAGTCGTTGCGGATGCTGATACTGAAGGAGCAGCAACGTCCACTGATGAAACCACCTCTGAAGAGGTAGCGGCAGCGGCAGCACCGGAAGAACCAGCAGAATCAATGAGTCCGGAATCCCTTGAGGAAGCGTATGATAATTCGATTAAGGCGTTTACAGATGGCGAAATTGTTAAAGGTATCGTCGTAGATGTCACTCGCGATGAAGTAATGATCGACATCGGCTTTAAGTCGGAAGGTTATATCCCATCATCCGAATTCGATGCAGGACAAGGCGATTTGCCTGCTGTTCAGGCAGGCGATGAGATCGATGTCTATATTGTGCGGCGCGAAGATTCGGAAGGACAGATAGTCCTTTCGAAAAAGATCGCCGATCAAACACTCATTTGGGATGAAATAGCGGCCGCGTTCGAAACGGGTACACCCGTCAAGGGCCGTATCACTGAACGGATTAAGGGCGGGCTACGAGTGAGCGTTGGATCCCTGCGAGGTTTTTTACCGGCTTCGCAAGTTGAGTTGCGTCCTATCCAGAATCTTGAACAGTATGTAGGACAAACGCTTGATATGAAGGTTATCAGCCTGAGCAAGCGGCGGCATAACATTGTTCTGTCGCGGCGAGCATGGTTGGAAGCCGAATTTGTCCAAAGACGTTCGGAAGTGCTCAGCACACTTGAAGTTGGCCAACACGTGGCAGGAGTGGTGAAAAACATCACTGCTTTTGGTGCTTTTGTTGACCTTGGTGGCGTTGATGGGTTACTTCACAAGACAGATATGGCATGGAAGCGGATACATCATCCATCTGATGTCGTTGCTGTTGGAGAAGAAATTGAAGTCCAAGTCATCGGTATCAACCAAGAAAATGAGAAAATCTCCTTGGGCTTGAAGCAGAAAACTCCCGATCCATGGGCAGAGATTGAGGAAAAATATCCCATTGGCTCCACGGTTCACGGTGCTGTTGTTAATATTGTCAATTATGGTGCGTTCCTACAGCTTGAAGAGGGTGTTGAAGGCTTAATTCATGTCTCTGAGATGGCATGGACTCGCCGTAATGTCGCGCCATCGCGGATTGTCAATAAGGGTGATGACATTGAAGCCGTTGTACTTGAGATCTCAAGAGAGGACAAACGTATTTCACTTGGGCTCAAGCAGCTGAAACAAAACCCTTGGGAACTTTTAGAAGAGAGATCCCCTGTCGGCAGTAAGATCATTGGACGTATCCGAAATTTAACCAGTTTTGGTGCGTTTGTTGAAATTGAACCAGGAATTGACGGTTTTATAATTCATACTTCAGACCTCTCATGGACCAAACGTGGTACTGCAGCCAATGAAGAGCTTAAAGAAGGCAGTGAGATTGAGGTAGTCGTGTTGCAAATTGACGCGGCTGAACGTCGAGTTTCATTGGGACTCAAGCAGACACAGCCGGATCCATGGGCAGAAGTACCCGAGAAGTACAAGGTTGGTTCCGTCGTCCGAGGCAAAGTCGTCAATCTTACAAGTTTTGGAGCATTCACCAAACTTGAGGAAGGCATCGAAGGCTTAATTCACATTTCTGAACTCGCAGACCGGCGGATTGAAAAACCAGAAGAGGTCGTTTCCGTAGGCGACGAGTTAGATTTAAAAGTGATTAATCTGTCTCCAAAAGACCGACGGATCGGGCTGAGTTTGAAGGCACTCCTTGTCGAGCAAGAACGTGCTGTGGTAACTGAAGAAGAACAGCCGACGAGAACGCGATCCGAGCGACCGCCTCGATCACGGCGAGAACGGGAACCGCGGCGGCAAATGCCAGCACACGAAGAGGCTGTCACCACATTAGGGGCATTGCTCAAAGAGGAGATGGGTAAGTCAAACGCAGAGAGTTCTGAGGAAGTCGCAAGTGTGGAGAACTCCGAAGACGTAGCGAATGCGGAGAGTTCTGAGGAAGTCGCAAGTGTGGAGAACTCCGAAGACGTAGCGAATGTGGAGAGTTCTGAGGAAGTCGCAAGTGCGGAGAACTCCGAAGACATCGCGAACGTAGAAAACCCTGAAAACGCGGAGAACTCTGAAAATTAATTTTTCGTGTCTTTGTCCGAGATTACGTCTAACTTTCGGAGCAGAGGCGAAAATACAAAACGGAAAATCTCGTTACAGAGTGTATCTGCGTTTGAGACGTAGGGCGGGTTTTTTGCACGCGTTTTCGTTATTTCACCTGCATGGGTGGGCACATGTGCCCACCCGTCCTCTCTTGCCCGAAAGACTTGACGAAGTACAGAGCCCTTGCTCCGCAAGACAGAGCGAGAACAGACACGTAGACTTAGGAGACGTGGAATTGAGCAAAATTTTCTGTTTACGTCCGAATCCGTTACTGAAGGACACCCGGACAAAATCGCAGACCAGATTTCTGATGCGGTACTTGATACCATATTCACAACCGATCCAATGGGCAGAGTCGCTTGTGAAACCTTGGTCACAACAGGACTCGCAGTCATCACTGGTGAAATCACGACTACAGCAAACTACGATGCACAACAAATCGCACGAAAAGTAATAGCTGATATCGGTTACACCAATATTGAATACGGCTTTGACGCTGAACGAAGTGCTGTATTGAGCATCATTGATAAGCAATCACCTGATATTGCAATGGGCGTAAACCCTGGTGGTGCAGGCGATCAAGGATTAATGTTTGGGTACGCATGTACCGAAACGCCAGAATTGATGCCACTGCCAATTACCCTCGCCCATCAATTAACCCGGCGTTTGGCTAAAGTTCGCAAAGATCGTACCCTCCCCTTTATCCGTCCCGATGGAAAATCCCAAGTAACCGTGGAATATGTTGACAGTAAACCTAAAGCTGTCACTACAGTTGTCATTTCTGCACAACACGATCCCGACATTGAGGATAGAGAACTACGAGAAGCAATTATTGAAGAGGTTATCAAAGAAATTATCCCTGAAAATCTCCAAAGTCCAGATATTAAATATCATATCAATCCAACCGGACGTTTTGTGACCGGTGGTCCCCAAGGTGATGCGGGTTAACCGGACGAAAATTATTGTTGATACGTACGGCGGAATGGGACGGCATGGTGGAGGCGCACTTTCTGGGAAAGATCCTACCAAAGTAGATCGGAGTGCGACTTACGCAGCACGACACGTCGCTAAAAACCTCGTTGCTGCTGGGCTGGCAGAACGGTGCGAAATTCAAATCTCTTACGCAATCGGTAGAAAAGAACCTATCTCTATTATGGTGGATACGTTTGGTACTGGCGATGCGGAGGCTCTCACTAAACTTGTCAACACACACTTCGATTTAACACCGGCAGGCATCATAGAACGGTTGAAATTACGCCAGCCTATTTATCAAAATACTGCCGCATATGGACATTTCGGACGTGAGGAACCCGGCTTCACTTGGGAAGAAATCGACTACGTCGAAAAACTCCGGTAGATTGAAAAAATGAGAATACCACAAAACATAAAGGAAAATAATGAACTACGACATAAAAACAACGGAACTCGCATCAGCTGGTAAACAACGAATTGATTGGGCAAACCGATTCATGCCCGTTTTAGATTCCATCCGCGAGCGGTTTCAAAATGAACGCCCGTTGGACGGATTGAGAGTGGCAGCGTGCCTACATGTCACAACTGAAACAGCCAATTTGATGAAAACGCTGAAGGCAGGTGGTGCGGAGGCGGTTGTCTGTGCATCAAATCCACTCAGTACGCAGGACGACGTTGCCGCATCTCTTGTGGTCGACGAAAAGATAGGTGTATTTGCAATTAACGGAGAAGATACTGAAACCTATTACAAGCACATTGATGCCGCACTTGATATGCAACCGACTATTACTATGGATGACGGTGCTGACCTCGTCTCAAGACTCCATTCTGAAGAGGCAAATCCAGCTTTATTGGAGCAAGTCGTTGCAGGAACAGAAGAAACAACAACCGGAGTTATCCGACTCAAGAGTATGGCAACCGAAGGTGTGTTGAAATACCCGATTATCGCTGTGAACGACGCACGGACGAAGCATTTTTTTGATAACCGATACGGCACCGGACAAAGTACATTAGACGGTATTATCAGAGCGACGAATCTGCTCATTGCCGGAACGACAGTCGTTGTGGCAGGCTATGGTTGGTGTGGCAGAGGAGTTGCTAACCGGGCACGCGGCTTAGGCGCGAACGTCATTGTGACGGAGGTCATCCCTTTAAAAGCATTAGAAGCAGTGATGGACGGATTTCGAGTGCTGCCGATGCAGAAAGCGGTTCAGGAAGCAGGTTTGGTTATAACGCTCACAGGGGATATTCACGTCTTACGCCAAGAACATTTCAAAGCGATGAAGGACGGCGCGATTATAGCGAATTCCGGTCACTTCAACGTTGAAATCGACATCCCAGCACTTGAAAAATTGAGCGTTGATAAAGGGAAAGCGCGCCCGTATGTAGAGGTATACACCCTCGGAGATGGTAAGAAACTCTATCTTATTGGCGAAGGCAGGCTGGTAAACTTAGCTGCTGCTGAAGGACATCCGGCAAGTGTTATGGACATGAGTTTCGCAAATCAAGCATTGTGTCTTGAGTACATCGCCCAAAATCGGGATAATCTTGAGAATCGTGTATATGATGTCCCCGAATCTATAGATGAAACCGTAGCGCAACTCAAGTTGGAAGCATTTGGCATTGAAATTGATACACTCACAGCGGAGCAGGAAAAATATCTTAACTCGTGGGAAATGGGTACTTAGTGCCGTTTTTTCCAGGACTGCTTCATGTACTGTTACAAGTTTAGATACCACCCTTTTGTGAGAGGCACCTATGAAAAAATCAGAGATTTTGGAGGGAGTGATATTACTCCTGTCGGCGGTGCTATTATTACCGATCTGGATGGCATCCTCTCAACAGATGCAATTTCCACCGACATTGCTAAAAGTGTTGAGTTTCTTGCAGTATCCAGTCATCATTGTGCTGGGTGTAATTTTAGTTCGCCGACTGCGACGGGTTATCCGCGGACTACGGGAAAACAAGAATAGACCTGGTCCCTTCTGATTTTGAAGGAAATTGGACGTACTGCGATAGGCGCGGTTTATAGCCTGGCATACTATAAACCGCGCCTCTACGTAGAAGGAGATGAAAGTTTAGAATGGGAGTTTTAGTCGTTGGCACAGTCACCTTAGATACGGTAGAAACACCGAATAAACGGGTGGAGAATGTCTTGGGTGGTTCCGGTGTCTATGCTGCTGTCGCCGCGAGTTTCTTCGGAAATCCTGTTCGACTTGTTGGAGTCGTCGGTGCTGATTTTCCACACATTTACGCAGATTTCCTCCGCACCCGAGGAATCGACCTTCAAGGGTTAAAACGAGAGCGCAACGGCAAGTCGTTCCGGTGGGGTGGTCGTTATACCGACGACTTTAACGTGCGTGATACGCTTTTTACGGAATTGAATGTTGTTAGTGATTTTCACCCCGTTTTGCCTGAAACTTACAAAGAAACCCCCTACCTCTTTTTGGCAAATAACTCGCCAAATTTACAATTGAGCATTATTGAGCAGGCAACACACCCGAAATTGATTGTCTGTGACACGATGGATTTTTGGATTAATGAAGAGCGGGAGGCATTAGAAGCACTCTTAGCACGGGTGGATATCCTCATCCTGAACGATAGTGAGGCACTGTTATTAACAGGTGATTCTAATTTGATCCGAGCCGCACAGGTGATCCTACGTTATGGTCCAAAGCGGGTTATAATTAAGAAAGGGGAGCACGGGGCAATCAGCGTAACGGAATCATCTTTCTTTAGTGCACCGGCATATCCGTTGACACAAGTAATAGATCCGACAGGTGCTGGCGATAGTTTCGCTGGGGGTATGATGGGTTACCTCGCATCTGTTGAGGATACGTCCGAAAAAGCAATACGCAGCGCAATGGTGTATGGAACAGTCGTCGCTTCTTTTAACATTGAAGATTTCAGCATCAATAGACAAAGAGATGTACAGTTTTCAGAGATTTCATCGCGATATTGTGAACTTCAAGAAGCCGTCCGTTTTTAATGTAAGCTGTGGATTGCTCTATCGTACGCTGCTTCAGCGGATTCCATCACCATTTCTGCGAGGGTTGGATGTGCATGCACGGTCCCTGCTATATCCATTGCAGTCGCACCCGTGCGAATCGCGACAGCGGCTTCATGAATAAGCGTTGAAGCATGGACGCCAACGATATGAACACCAAGGATATCCCCGCTATCGGCATCAGAAACGGTTTTAACAAACCCGTCCGTCTCGCGTAGCCCTAATGCCTTCCCGTTCGCGGCGTACGGAAATCGTCCTATCTTCACTTCGTAACCTTCATCCGTTGCCTCTTTTTCTGTCATGCCGACGTGCCCAATTTCAGGTAAGGTGAAAACACACCACGGAATAACCTGATAATCCATCTCAACGCTGTCCCCAAGACAGTTTTGTGCCGCAACCTTTCCCTCTGCCGATGCAACGTGCGCCAGCAGATACCGACTCGCGACGTCTCCAACGGCATAGATACCCGCAATGTTCGTTTGCATTCGGGCATCCACAACGATTTTCCCATCCTCTGTACGAACGCCAACTTTTTCTAAACCTATCCCGTCTGTGTTGTAACGCCTCCCAATCGAGACGAGCATCTTTTGCGCGCTCAACTCTTCACCGGATTCAAGCACTGCTGTGACACTCGCATCTGATTTTTTGACATGGGTAAGTTTCGCACCAGTATGGATAGTGATACCTTTCCGCTTCATGAAAAGTTGGATATGTCGGATAACTTGAATATCTTCAGTCGCTAAAATTGTAGGGAGGAGTTCCAACACAGTCACGCGGCAACCGAGTGCATTGAAGATGGAAGCAAACTCACATCCTGAAACGCCACCGCCAACGATCAGTAGGCTTTCAGGGAGTTCTGTGAGATCAAGGATACCAGTTGTCGTCAAAACTTGGCTCTCGTCTATTTCAAAAATAGGCGGTTCCGCAGGTTCGGAACCTGTGGCAATGATAATATTTTTTGCGTGTAATTGTTCGGTTGTACCATCAGGTTTGCTGACGACAATGGTATTTCTGTCAGTAAGTGTTGCTGTTCCGTTGAGTGTATCAACCCCGTTTGCCTTCAGCAGTTGCGCAATGCCCCCTTTTAGCTGCTGGATGACCGAAGTTTTGTGAGTCAATACCTGAGGGTAATCAATTGTTGCCTCGCCGTTGATATTCACACCGAAAGCGGATGCTTCTTGAACCTGTGTCGCCAAGTTGGCAACTGCAAAAAGGGTTTTCGTTGGAATACACCCTCGATTCAGGCAGGTGCCACCCCACTCTCCCTTTTCTATCAGACAGACTGTGCCGCCAAGTTGCGCCGCTTTAATAGCTGCGACGTACCCTCCTGGTCCTCCGCCTATTATTCCGAGATCATACGTAGACATAAGTGCTCCTGTTTTGTAGAATAAATTAAATTTTATCACAAAGGCTCGGAGTTGTCAAGATGAGATAGGCTAAGAGCAACACCATCCAGTCCCTGAAAACCGACGCTTTTACACAATGCACCTATAGAAATCAAATATGCTTTTGGTGTTAAATTTGACAAAAAGTATGGGGTGTGCTACAGTGATACCAATCTGAAAGTAGGAGAAAATGGATGTTTGATGGGTACTTCCCAAACCAATTCGGGCCTGGACGCTCAGCAGTTATCTGCCAATATGGGGCAGTTGCAACGAGTCAACCACTCGCGGCGCAGGGTGGGTTGCAGATTTTACAGAATGGTGGAAACGCCATTGATGCAGCGGTCGCAACTGCAGCAATACTTAACGTCGTTGAGCCGATGTCAACCGGTATCGGTGGAGATGCCTTTATGCTCGTTTATCAACCCAAAGATGGGGTGATCCGCGGCTTAAATGCGAGCGGTCGAGCACCTTACGCTGCAGAACCAGAATTCTTTACCAAGCAGGGGTTGATGAGTATACCTTCTTTTGGGAGTATGTATCCAGTCACGGTCCCTGGTACAATTGACGGGTGGGCAACACTCCTCAACGAATGTGGAACAATGTCGTTAGCGGAGGTACTTCAGCCTGCCATCAATTACGCGGAAAAAGGATTTCCTGTCAGCCCACAGATTAGTCTCGCATGGCAAGAAAGTGCGCAGATGTTGGCGCAGCACCCCGACACAGCACGGACGTACCTCCAGAATGGAAAAGCACCGACACCAGGGGAAATCTTTTATCAACCGAACCTTGCCCGGACATTTCGGTTGATTGCAGAAGGCGGACGCGATGCCTTCTATCAAGGAGAAATTGCTGACAAGATCGTGAAATTTTCCGATGAAAACGGAGGTTTATTTACACAACGCGACTTTGCTGAACACAGGTCAGATTGGGTAGAACCGATTTCTACCAATTATCGAGGCTACGATGTTTATGAGATACCCCCAAATGGACAGGGCATCGCTGCCCTCCTCGCACTCAACATCGTTGAAGGATTTGAACTCGGAACGATGGGACATAACAGTCCTGAACATCTACACCATGCAATTGAGGCAATGAAATTAGGGTTCGCGGATCTCTATGAATACGTGACAGATCCGACGTTTGTGGATGTGCCAGTAGATGGACTGCTTTCCAACGACTATACAGAAAGGCAGCGAGAGCGCATCTCACCAGAACGGGCAAGCGTGCATCCAAGTCCTGGTGTGCCCGCAATGGGAAGTGATACGGTGTACCTCTGTACGGTTGACAACGAGCGAAATGTCGTCTCTTTTATAAACAGTCTCTTCGCTGGGTTTGGTTCAGGCTTAGTTGCTGGTGATACAGGGATTATGTTACAAAATCGGGGTGCAGGTTTCTCGCTTAATCCCGACCATGCAAATTGTATTGCTCCACATAAACGTACACTGCATACTATTATCCCCGGTATGATTGCACAAAACGGGGTTCCATTGGTCACCTTTGGTGTCATGGGTGGACAAATGCAAGCGCAAGGACATTTACAATTTGTATGCAATCTTGTAGATTTCAATATGGACGTACAGAATGCCTTGGACGCGCCTCGATTTCGAGTGATGGACGACTCGCGGATTATGCTGGAGACAGGCATTCCGATGAATACACAAGCCTCATTGGCACAGAAAGGACATCATATCATACTGGGGCACACTTTTTTGGAGGTGGGCAAGCAATTTTTATCAATCCGTCCTCCGGCACGCTCGTCGCAGGGTTCAGATCCGAGACGAGATGGATGTGCAGTCGGCTATTGAGGCGAGAGGGATTTTTTTGACTTTTGGCTTAAATTGAGGTATAATATTAAGACTAACAGGCGGTTTCGGCTCAAGGACTGAGAACCGAACCGAAGCATGTAAGCCCGCCAAGCCGGTCGCGAATCACCGTTGATGCGATCGCCGGTCGTCGTTGATTCCAAAGGCTTCTCTTGCCTTGGGGCGCTATCTCTGATAGGATACGAGTAGCCAGCGTTCGACTTAAGCCGTACAAAACATCCTATCTAGCCTTGAAAGCGAAGTCCGTTTTCTGCTTGTTCGTACCCTTGAGAAAAAGGAATAGGGCTAACACACGCAAACCTCGCCCCGCAGATTAAATACAAAATGGTGAGGAATAGAGAACCCACTCTACAATGCCAATGCAAAAGAAATATAGAAGAATGTATGGAGAGTCAGTTTACAAATGTATAATGATTTAAATGAAAAAGATGCCTGTGGCGTTGGTTTTATCGCGAATCGTTTTGGAAATCGGAGCCATGATATTATCAAGATGGCGACGCAAGCGGTCACGAATTTGACGCACCGAGGCGCGGTGGCGGCTGATGCCAAAACAGGAGACGGCGCAGGTATTTTAACACAAATTCCAGAGAAAATATTTCAAAAAAGAACTTCAGAAACTCGGAGTCCACCTCGATTCGATAAATGACATGGGTGTCGGGATGATTTTCCTGCCGAGGCATGACCGGGATGCACAGGCACGCGGGCGCGCAATCGTTGAAGAGATATTACAGCAGTACGGTGTTCCCCTCCTTGGATGGCGTTCGGTCCCTCATGATTTTTCCGCTCTCGGTGCTAAGGCACTGGAAACGCTGCCGGAAATCCAGCAGGTATTGGTGGGACGTCCAGAGCAATTCGCCGATGACGCTTTTGAACAACGCTTGTATCTGATATGTAAAGAGTTAGAGCATCGCGTTACAGCGGCAGCACTCGACGGATTCCATATCGCCTCTTTTTCACATCGGACGATTGTCTATAAAGGATTGCTGGTAGCACTCCAGCTTACCCAGTTTTATCCGGATTTAAAAGACCCTGATTTTCAGGCAGCACTTGCCGTTTTCCATCAACGCTACAGTACGAATACCTCGTCCACATGGATGCTCGCCCAACCTTTTCATACGCTGGCGCATAATGGCGAAATCAACACCTTGATGGGCAATCGGAACTGGATGCGGGCGCGCGAAGCCGACTTGCAGTCGCCTCTCTGGAACGAACACATCCGAAAACTCGTTCCGATTATCAATCCACATGGAAGCGATTCGATGAGCTTGGATAACGTGTTAGAATTGTTAACACACTCTGGTCGCGATATTCTACATGCCATGATGTGTCTGATCCCCGAAGCCTATGAGCAGATTTTCGATATGCCGGACGAGTTGAAAGCCTGTTACGAGTATCTTTCATGTGTCAGCGAACCTTGGGATGGACCGGCGGCGGTCGCGTTTACAGATGGCGTTATCGTCGGTGCAAATTTGGATAGAAACGGGCTACGACCTGCACGCTATAAGGTCACCGAAGACGGGACGGTTGTCATGGGCTCCGAAGTTGGCATTCTTGAACTTGATGACAGTCGCGTCGTGGAAAGGGACGTTTGGGGCCTGGGCAAATGATTGCTGTTGATACAGTACAAGGGAAATTGCTGAAAAATTCTGAGATTAAACATAATGTTGCCACGCAGAAGCCTTATGCCGAGTGGGTACAGAAAGGTACCGTGACGCTCCCAACCGAAAAAAATGAGGCGTGTGCCACGACAGATGCTGTCCCTGAACAATTGGCGACATACCAGAAAGCTTTCGGCTATATGACTGAAGATGTGGAGCGCTTTATTAAACCCATGGTAACGGAAGCGAAGGAAGCAGTCGGTTCAATGGGCGATGACACACCACCCGCTGTGATTTCTCGCCATCCGCGTTTGCTCTATAGTTACTTTAAACAGCGTTTCGCGCAGGTTACGAATCCACCTATCGATTCCATCCGGGAACGTTTGGTGATGTCCCTGACAACACATCTTGGACAACAGCAGAGTTTGCTCACGGAAACGCCAGAGCATGCTCGACTTATTCGGTTACCCTCGCCAATTTTGACAAACACAGATTTACAAGCGTTGCGTGAACTGAATATACCTGATTTTCGGATAGCAACCCTCTCTGCCTGCTTCCCCGTAGCCTCTGGCAAACAAGGTTTGGAAGAAGCATTAGAAACACTATGTCAACGCGCCTTCGAGGCAATTGATACCGGAACAACAATTCTTGTGCTGAGTGACAAAGAGGTTAGTCCTGACCTTGCTCCGATTCCGATGGCACTTGCTGTCGGTGCTGTCCACCACCATTTAATTCGGAAAGAAAAGCGAATGCAGGCAAGCCTCATCGCTGAAACCGGAGATGCAAGAGAAGAACATCACTTCGCTGTTCTTCTCGGTTACGGGGCAGCTGCAATCAACCCTTATCTTGCCTTCTCAACGATTGTTCAACTTGCTGAGGAAGGTGAATTCGCAGAGCTTACCGCACCGGAAGCCATTGAAACCTATAAAGAAACCATCGAAAAAGGTGTTTTGAAAATTATGGCAAAGATGGGAATTTCGGCGGTGTCAAGTTATCACGGTGCCCAGATTTTTGAAGCTCTTGGTATCAATGCAACGGTTATTGATAAATGTTTTACAGGCACCACCTCACGCTTAAGTGGTATTGGCTTTGCTGAAATCGCAGCAGAGACGCTCCACTTCCACACAAAAGCGTTTTCCGGAAGTGAAGGCGATACGTCCTTAGAGGAAGCAGGCTATTTCCGGTTTCGTAGAAATGGCGAATTCCATGCCTATAATCCGACAGTATTTAAGTCACTGCACCGATTTGTGAAGGATGGTAAGCCGGAGGACTATGAAAAATATGCTGCTGCCGTTGAGAGTGGGGAACCTTCCAGCTTACGAGATCTGCTTGCTTTCAAACCCAGCACTCCTATTCCGATTGAAGAGGTGGAGCCAGCGGAAGATATCGTTCGACGTTTCACAACCGGTAGTATGTCCTTTGGCGCGTTAAGTCGAGAGACACACGAAACCCTAGCAATCGCGATGAATCGCCTCGGGGCAAAATCAGGGAGTGGAGAAGGCGGTGAAAACAGCACAGCGCTTCAAGCGGCAACCCAATGGCGACCTTGCTTCCAGTGCCATCAAACAAGTGGCATCCGGACGTTTCGGTGTGACGCCAACATACCTCATATCGGCAAAAGAACTGGAAATTAAGATGGCGCAAGGTTCAAAACCGGGAGAAGGCGGACAGATTCCAGGACATAAGGTGACAGCTGAAATCGCTGCTCTTCGACACTCTGTGCCAGGAGTGCCACTGATCTCACCACCCCCACATCATGACATCTACTCCATCGAAGATTTGGCGCAGCTCATCTACGATCTGAAACAAGCGAACCCGCGCGCAAAGGTAGCTGTAAAACTGGTGTCCGAATTTCTCGTTGGAACGATTGCGTCAGGGGTGGCAAAGGGCTACGCTGATGTAATACAAATAAGTGGACATGAAGGAGGCACCGGGGCATCCCCGCTCAGTTCCATTAAGAACGCAGGGACCCCTTGGGAACTCGGACTTGCTGAAACACAGCGTGCACTCGTGACCAATGAATTGCGGGATCGTGTCGTGTTACGGGCTGACGGTGGGATGCGTTCCGGACGCGATATTGTTATTGCCGCAATGTTGGGGGCAGAGGAATATGGCTTTGGAACGATAGCAATGGTCGCCACAGGATGTGTGATGGCGCGCCAATGCCACTTGAATACATGTCCAGTTGGTATAGCTACCCAAGATCCAGCACTCCGTGCAAAATATCTCGGCACTCCTGAAATGGTTGTCAATTTCATGCTCGGTGTGGCAAATGAGGTGCGAGCTATCCTCGCCAACCTCGGTCATCGGTGCCTGAACGATATTATCGGATGTCCAGAATTGCTTCAACCGGTCGATTTGGCAGATTATCCGAAAACAGGAACGTTGGATTTGAGCGAAATCCTGACCCCTGCCGATCCAACTGGAACGCAGCCGCGTTACCATCTACAAGACCGAAACAATCGGAATGACATTTCTCTTGACGACCAGATTCTGGAGGATGCTAAGGAAGCAATTTCGCAGCAAACATCGATCCAACTCTCCTATCCCATCCGGAATACACACCGGACAGTGGGAGCAAAGTTATCCGGTGAAATCGCGATGCACTATGGCGATGCTGGCTTACCTGACAGGACGATCCAGTGCGACTTTAGGGGCAGTGCGGGACAGAGTTTCGGTGCTTTCTGTATCAGCGGCGTGCAATTCGTGTTGACGGGTGAAGCCAATGACTATGTAGGTAAAGGTATGGCAGGTGGAGAAATTATTATTAAACCCGCACCGACTGCTCAGTTCTCAACTTATGAAAATACAATCATCGGAAACACAGTGTTGTACGGTGCCACTGGTGGTACGCTTTACGCAGCCGGAAGAGCCGGCGAACGGTTCTGTGTCCGAAATAGCGGGGCAACCGCTGTCGTTGAAGGTGTCGGGGATCACGGTTGTGAATACATGACAGCGGGGACAGTCGTAATTCTCGGCGAAACGGGTAGAAACTTTGGAGCCGGGATGACCGGCGGCACTGCCTATGTTCTCGACGAAAAACAACAGTTCGAGAAGAAGTACAACTCGGATTGGGTGAAGTTAGAAAAGGTAACGGGTGAGACAGATATTAAGAATCTGATGGCACTTATACAAAAATCACGCGGCTTATACCGGCAGTGAGCACGCCGAGAAAATCCTCACCAATTGGGAGGATCTCCTTTCGCATTTTTGGAAGGTTGTAACACCACCACCTCCACCGCCTCCGGCACCTGTCCAGCTTAAAAGAAGAGCAGCGGGACGCAGAGAGCGGAGACGCTAAAAACTCAGTTGTGCGATAGGTGTCAAATACCTACCTTTAGCAGTATATTACCACATAAAAAGGCAGCCGAAGCTGCCTTTTTTGTTAACTACATTGCAGTTTTCAGTTTTCTTCCGAGACCGCGAAAGCGATTTCAAGCCCCTCTGTTTTACTGGAGCGCTGTTTCGCTCATTCTACGACATCAATGACGACACCGTGTTTCGCACGCTTATCCGCTTTGATAATTAAGGTGCTGATGACCTGGTTTTCATGGGCGCAATGAAAAGCTCCATATCTTCCAGAGTTGGCGAGGTTAGGAAACCTCGCCAGCGAGAAGGGAAGTTCCTAAACCCCTATGTTCACATATTTTCGGGCTTTACTATAAAACACCTGAAAGTTTATGAGGTTACGCGTGTTCTTCAGACAGCTCTTCTGGTCAGCACGTTTTACAAGGGCCGATTATCAAATGGGCAAAAAAAAAGGCAGCCGAAGCTGCCTTTTTTGTTAACTGCGTTGCAGTTTTCATTACTCTTCCATGACCGCGAAAGCGATTTCAAGCCCTTCCCTTTTACTGGAACGCTGTTTCGCTCGTTCTACCACATCAATGACGACGCCGTGTTTCGCACGCTTGTCCGCCTTGATAATTAGAGTACTGATCTGGTTTTCATGGGATGCAATGAAAAGCTCCATATCTCCCAGTGTCGGCATCTCTTGGTCATCGATCGATATCCGTCCGTCGGTGCTAATGAAGAGGTTGAACTTCTTCCGTGTAAATTCGTGCTTTGTTGCGGAATCAGGTAAGGTGACGGTGAAAGGCGGTTGGGCTTTCATGATAGCAGACACCATGAAGAAGATAAGCAACAAAAAGACACAATCGATCATTGGTGCCATCGGAATGTCATCATCATCGCCTGTTTTTTTCCGCCGAGACATGTTCAAAGCCATCTGAATTCTCCTTCTATAAAGAGTGGAGTGCTATTACCGCCGCGTGAGATAAGTCAATCTCTTGCGACAATAGCGAACCCGATTTTATCTATACCTGCCTGTTTCGCGATATCCATCACTTGTACGATCTGCCCATGTAGCACGTCTCGCTCGGATTGGATAATGAGCATGCTTGTCGCTTCCTCAGGTGCATTGATGAATCGAGTAAACATTTCATCAATCTGGACGACCTCATCATTCAGCACCATCGTGCCTTGGTCATTGCCGGGTTCCGGATTTGCGATTCGGACAGTCAGACCTTTCGGTTTATCGGATGACGGTTTCCCCGGCGGGGGCAACTGCACCCGGAGACCGGGAATCGGCGAGAAGGTTGTCGATACCATGAAGAAAATCAGGAGCAGGAACACACAATCAATCATAGGTGCCATACTGAGCGTTGGTGGCTTGCGTTCCCGGATCCTGGTCGCCATTAGACTCAATTTGGCTTTATCGCCGGCTTGTTGCATTTCAGAGTCTCCTTTCTGGTTAATGAGACTAAGGCTAAGGCACAAGTGCCTGGTAGCCTATAAAGCCTATTAGGAGAGGGCGAGTGAAGGCACCCGCCCGTTCCGTTCCAAGATTAGGCATCGCCGCCTTCACTAACAATCAACTGGTTTATAATCTCGGTAGAAACCTGGGAGATCTCAACCATGTGCCTGTTAACCCAACTATCAAAGAGCTGGAAGAAAATCAGACAGGGGATAGCAACTGTCAAGCCAGCAGCAGTTGTGAGAAGTGCCTGTGAGATACCACCAGCGAGCTGCTGCGGGTCACCCGTACCTTCAAGAGCGATTGTAGTAAACGCACTAATCATACCTGTAACTGTTCCGAGCAAACCAAACAGCGGAGACACAACAGCAACAGTACCGAGGACGGGTAGATTTCTTTCGAGTTCAGGGATTTCAAGCAGACTTGCTTCCTCAATAGCTTCCTGAATTTCCTCTTTGCTAATGTCGCGTTCCTCAATTTGGGCTTGGCTGTATCGCAGCAATCCTGCTTTAAGAACGTTAGCAAGCGGTCCACCGGCTTCTTCACACGTCGAGACGGCTTCCATAATGTTCTCTTTCCGCAATGAATCAGCAATACTGGCGATAAACTGTTCGGTTCCAATTCGAGAACGGCTCCGAACGAAGGTGAAAAGTCTTTCAATAATGAAAGTCAACGCCGTGATGGAGCAGAGTGCGAGGGGCCAGAAGACGAATCCAAACTTCTGGAAGAAAGTAACGATATTGTCTTTTTTAGTCATCTTGAGCGGTACGAAGTGATCGCCGCCATTAACGACTGTAACGGGTTTACCAAGTCGATCACCGTATCCTTCTCTATAGATACTGATGAGGTAACGACCTGCGGGAACACCCGAGCGCTCGTAGTCGCCGTTAGCATCCGTCGTCGCTGCAAATTCTTCGCCACCTTGGGCAACAATCTTGACTTCAACGCTTTCAATTGGGCTCTGTGCTGTGGTTGTATCAACAATCTGGCCCCGGACGGTTCCGCCGCTATCCTGTGCGAAGACAACACCGGCAGACATACTGAGACAAGCAACCAACATTAACACCAAACTTAAACGAGTCATTCGTTCTGATCCTCCTTAGGGTAACTTGCCGAATACGCTGGCAAGTTTTTACAAATCATCTCATAAAGTGTTGTGGGAACCTCGCCCAACAACTCAATTTTGCTAACACTTGAGCATTTTAAAAACTACATAAGTTTTCAGGTCGGGTAGAAGCGACAGGAACCGCGCCTACCACTTACAACACCATTCTCGTTAATAACACCTGAGTGCTTCGGAAGTTACGCGAGTTTTATTCAAACCTCATGGAAAAGGGAAGCACAGGTGATAAAGCGAGACGCGAAATCGCTGAACACGAAGAAATCGTGTCCAGCGATTCAAACACCTCTTAGAAGCCCATCATTGCTCGCACAAACGTCGTGTTACTCGTCGTATGGTCGAGCAGGATGGTGGTTCGCCGGTAACCAGCGAGGATAACAATGTTAAACCCAAGCCATTCACCACGGTTGATTGCTTGAACTTCAAATATCCGTGTTCGTAGGTCGGGTCGGAAAAGGATGGGTACATCCTCATCTTCCGGGAAATTCGTCAAATATTCTTTGAAGTTATTATCCCGGTTGGTGAACTTCCTATATTGGAAACCACCAAGAATGTTCATTCGTTGCGTGAACTGATAGTCAAGCCGTACGCCGAGGACATCTTCACGACTTCTACGGTTGAAGCGTAAGTATCCGAGGGGTTCTTCATCAGTCGGAACAAACAGACGTGGGTTAAGGGCATCCCCAATTTCCTCTCCGCCGCGATCGAAAGCGCGGTCCCAAATGTACTTCACCATTGGTGTAAGCGTCAAATCTTCACCGATTCTGTCAACAAAGGGGAGGTCACCAAGTGGGAGCTCGTATCTCGCCTTGAGAATCGTCTGCTGATTGCGAATATCCCGTTCTGGATAACGACGCTTCTTCCAGTTTCGGCATCATAAATCAAGCCGGATCCTCAGGGTTAAGGGCGTTAATTCCATGATCTGGATAGAATGGGAATTCCCTTTTGTCCCCGGAGGATCGAACCTGCTCAATGGGTACCATGAAGTCAACACGTTGATCAGCATTGAGCGGATCACCCTCTTCTCCTGAACCATCAACATCCAAGAAAATCGCGCCGGCCTCATCCTGCTCAAACTGTTTTTGCAGCACAACGAGGAACTTTGCTTCGAGCGTGAGGTTGGGAACAGCAGTGTAGAGGAACTGTAGCGTTGTCGTATTCACACGAGCATTGTAGTAATCAAGCTCGTCGGAAATTTGGACAGGCTCCAATTCACCGACACGCAGTGTAATGGTGTAATCTGGAATATCGTCTCGGACTCGGACGAATCGGTTTTGGAAAAGGACAGTTCCAAAATCAGGGATGTCACGTTGATAGGTGACATGTAGGTATTTGGAGTCATTCTGCCGACGGCTTGAAACTTCGTTTTCGTTGAGCCACCCAACTTTGAGTGAAAGGTTATCAAGGAGGTCATATTCAGCGAAGCCATGGTATCCTTGCCTGTCTACCCCGTACTCATATTGTGGTTCAAAATCGTCCTCAAGAGAATCGATTGTACCGTTGTTGTTCAAATCAACGAGATCAGTAAACACTGGCGGATCGGCATCAAAGATGAGAAAGTCTTCTTGGAAGTCCAAAACACCGTTCTGGTCTCTGTCATCAGCACGGGGGTAGGACTCCGTCGAAGTCAATGTCATCCGGCCAGTCATCATCATCATCATCATCTTCAATGAGGGGCGCGTAATTAACTTCATCCCACGGATCTCTTTCAGCCTGAGATTCGGGGGTTCGCTCCAGCGTGTAGGGATAGTCTCTGTCGGTATTAGCACCGAAGTGAGATAGGTTGTGGTGTACCCAGGATCAATATGGTAGTAGACACCTTCAAGGTACAACTTCCAAAGCGAGATTGAGTTGGACGAACCATGCGGTTTCTCTTCCCATTTCTCCATCGCCGCTTTCGTCGGTTCCCTCACCACCCAACCTGGCTTCAAATCGCTCACCCTCGGTCTCCGAATAGGTGGGTATACCGTTCCGATCTAATGGTAAGCCTGTTGCTGGATCGATGGAGACGCCGGTTTCTTCCTCGCCATCCTCACCTATAATAGTTGTCTTAAGTCTACTAAATCCAATCTGATCTTTGGGGATCGTCGGATACTGCTTATACTTACCGTTAATGGAATAATGTGCACGAACGAAAACATTACCGACACTACCTTCTAAGTCAAGCCCGTAGAGGAGTGCCGCGCGTGCCGCGCCGTAATGATAACGGACTTTACGCGGTCTGCCTTCACCTGTCCATTGACTCGGATTATCGACGAGATTCGAGCGGTTACTAATGTAATCCGAGGATTGTCCATAGTTACCGGGTGCTTGAATAACATCGCGGTATGGCATTTCAATGTGCCCATCTTCGGTTTTGATCCACTCTTCAACAAACGGATCTGCCCCTTCAGCAGCCTTGTTAGCATCACTGAATCCAATAACAGCAATGTTATAATCACCGGCTACGACCATATCAAAAATGACCGATTGAACAGTCCGCGGATCAATATCATGGTCGGCAAAAACGAGATCATACTTCATTTTATTGAAGCCGTCCACAATTGCCCAATCCCCGGATTCACGAATATCAGACGGAAGTCCGCCTACATCAATCGGAGTGACATCGCTGGAGAAGATATCAATCTTTTGGGTTTGTGTGGGTTGCGCTTTAGGTTCAACACCATCTTCGATGTCTGCCGGTGTTAAATCTTCTAATTCCTGCGTGACGATTGTAGCTGTCATGCCTTTGAAAGCCGCACCAACACCACCTTGAGTATTTCCGCCATGTTTGGCTTCATCGTAGCCAGAAAATACGGTAACTGAACGGTGATTGTCTTCAGGTGAGTCATCCCGGAAAACAACAGAGATCACCTCTGGTGGTGTATTTGCCACAGTACCCATGAGTGGGTTTTCAACGCGTTCGGGGTGCTCTTTATGAAGGTTGACATAAGTAAACCCAACGCGGAAGATGTCGCCCAAAAGTCCTTGGGCTCGGAAGCCTATCAGTCGTGCGTTTTCAATATGGCGAACGCCAGCGTCTTCATTCAAACCATTTCGACGTCCGAGAGTCGGTGCAAGGTTCGCCGCTGCGTCTGTCAACTGAACAGGGTTCGAGATACGCGAATTGATAAGCGTGAAAAGATGACGTTCCTGCGCGAAAGAGATATCCCAACGAAGCCCATCAAACTCTGTTTTGTAGAGAATGTAGCGGTTTGGGAACAATGTAGACGGTTTGAAACGCATACTATCGCCGATAGCAAACTCGGTATATCTACCGCGGAAACTGTCTTCTGTCAAGACGGTTCTATCCAGCTGTGCTGAGAATCTTTCGCTATCCAGCTGACCTGTCCAACCAACATACAATTCACCATTCTGGTCGAACTCTTTCTGCTCGCGATAGTTATAGACCTCGTTACCCTCAAGCAGCTCTTTTCCAAACAGGTCATAGAAGAACTGAGGTTCTTCTTCCAATTGGAACCGTGCTGAAAATTTAGAACTCCCCTCAATTGTTGGTAATAGGGGTTCTTGTGGACCAAGGCTCTGTGCACCACAACCGTAAAGCACAAAAGCACTCAGGATACAGGTCGCTACAAGTAAAACATCAAATGATTGTTTTAGCCTGCTCATTACTTTGTTTTTCCTCCTTGGAAATAATGAATCGGATGTTTGGGCAACGGAACTGCGATGTGAATTTCTCACCTTTCGCTGTCCCTACCTCGGTTTCCGACAAAAAACCTTAAAAATGGATGAAAATTGCTTTACATGTAAACGAAAAGTCCCAAAATCTTGTTAATGAAACCAACATCACTTCAATTTCGTTCTTTTCTGTTACTGCTAGGCAAGTATCCGAAAATTGTAAATACCATGCGTAGCGTGTAAAAAGCAAATTTCTTTCCAACGGATTAAGGGTTTGTTTTGCGGGAATTCTCAATAAACGGGTGATACAATGCCCACAAAACTGTTCTTAGCATTCAAAATAGCACTGATTCAAATTTCTGTCAAGTTTTTAACAGAAAAAACGCATGCCTTAGGGTGGTAATTTCACATAATCATACCACAAACGTCATATTTTTCAAGTTTAATTATATCAGCACCATTTTATTTTCGGTTTTTCGCCCACCTTAGGGATGAGTGGCGATCTACAAATCGTTCCCGCGTGCCCCCAAGTAATTATCTCACAAAATGCTGCGCAGGATAGGTGCATCCCTAATATGAGGATCATTTTGACAACTACTGTCTTCTGAAGACGCCCGAAGACAATAGAAAATAGATAATAAAGTTGTATTGTCTTAGGACCCAAGTAAAATATTGGTAGATCCTAGTATAAATTTGTAAGTATCCTCACAATGGCAGCGAACAAATCATGCAACACTGCACATTGAAGCGTATTATAATTATACTACATTTTAAGGAAAATTGACATTTTTTTTTCAAACTGCCATCAATATAAGTTCCTGAACCCGAAAATTGGGCTATAAAACTTTGAAATTAAGACATTGAATCTTTTAGATTCTCAGGACTTTTGTTGAAATACTCGATAAACAAGGCAGTTGTAACACCTAAGGACAGACCGGCGATTCCCGCGATGACCAAAATAAACCTGAGTTGAGGACTAACGGGAATTTTTCTCGGTACCGCACGGTCGATGATTTCAATACCACCTATCTGGTTGCGGGCGGTATTTAACTTGGATTCAGCATATAATATTTCAGCTTCAAGTGCCCGTTTCGCAATCTCTTCAGCAAGTTCATTGGTTTTCTGAATCTTGGCTCCCATCTGCGTGAGAATTATCTGGTTTTCTGGGATCTGTTCCAGCATTTGCGTCAATTCAGTTTCCAACGTGCTAAGTTTCTGCTTAAGGCGTTCTGCGGCGTTTTCATAACGCGACTGACTCGGAACAAATGTCAGCAACTGATTCTTTATATAGGTATAATGGACAGAGGGACCGGAAGTAACGGTAGTAGCCGTAGGGGAGGTTTGAGCGGTTTTTTCGCGGATTTCAGCAATTTGTGCGTCGAGGCCCTTCAATTCTGAGGCAGTCTTGCCTACCTTTTCCGCATCCGCAGCACGCTGCGATTCAAGGTTGAAGAGCTTTTCCTGCTGAAAAAGCCAAACGGGATCGTAGGATGTAGTTTCTGATATTTTCGTCTGCGCCGGTAAGTGTTTTAATTGCTCCTGTAAATATGCAATGTGGGTGCGCGTCGCATAGAGCTGTTGCTGATTCGTTTCAAGCCTTTCCCGGATACTGGCATGACGTTCAAGCAGATTGGTAAGAGTCGGGAGCCAGGTTTCTGGACTGCCATTCTGGCGAGCAATAAAAGGAGAGCGTCTAAATCTTTCTCTATTTGGATTTGGATTTCTCGTCGTTTATTTTCGAGAAATTCCATCCGCCTTTTTAGTTTTGTTTTCTTCATCTCCACGCCTCAATGTTTTCATATCCTCTACGAGTGGTTAACAAGTAGAGCCGCATTGCGTTCCCCTCCCTCCGCCTCCGTCAAGGCAATCGAAAGATTGATATAGTCGGAGTCCGGGTTCAGCTGAGCCTTCAGCATTCGTTTGAGTTTACCTACCGGTGGAAGGAGAGAAACCGCCTCACGTTGCCACTCTCTTCGAGGTTTTCGATTGCCGTTTTTAGCATTGATTCTGTGGAAAATCGAGCACTGATTGTCTCCATTTCCCGCCGGTCAACACCGCCAGAGAGTACCGCTTGAAACAGGTTCGTTGAAGGCAGGGAAGATGTTGTATTAGATTGGACGAGTAACATTAAGTGGAGGCAGCATACGTTTTAGGCAAGCGGAGTGAAATAACCAAGGCGGTTCCTATACCAACAAAACACTCAGGCAGAGTGTAAAATCATGCTTTCGAATGAGTTGAAGATAATCACGGAGATGTTCCTCCTGTTGCGGCATGAACGTGTGGAATTCCCACCCATTCTTGGGATAGAAATTGCTCCTCCTTTCTCAAACCTATAGATTGTTAGCAATACGAATTTCTTCCTCTGTTAAAGGCTTCGTCATGCCATTCGGTTATGCGCCATTCATCATTTCTTTTTTCAAAAATAAAGAGGTTGTCACACCTTCAGCGCTACACACCACTATATCCACCCTCAAGCGAATGTCCATCGGATATAAAGAGTTGGATTCTATAGTGATCCGTACCCTTCCGCCTGATTGCCATCCTCATTCATAGAAATCTCTGGTGGGACAGAGAGTTCTATCTCAATATCCTGAACTTCTCGAAGACTCGAGTGGCAGCATCCCGTTCCTGTCGGATGTCATCAAACTCCAGATCATCCGTTTTGTCTCCGTCGGTTCCCATATCAGAAACATAGAGGAAACCGTTTTCCCAGAAGGTGCCGATATAAGAGTTAACATCTTCTGTCTCATAACCTTGCCGCCATCGGTCTAAGATTTTATTAATTTGAAGGAGTTCTTCAGGCGGAACCTGACCAACTTTGTCAGCGTCCCCACACCCCATAAAACCTATGAGTAAGATGAGTACGCCAATGACTATTGCAAAAGTCCTGAACATAATAAGTACCCTGCTTATTTTAAAAGGTTTTAATAATACCTAAATACAGACGTGATGGGGTTGCCCCGACCTCAATCCCCAATTTTTCAACATCCTGTGCATCCCGTTCAATAGACTGAATTAATGTAGTAGCATTGTAAAAGTTTGCACCGACATAAGAATCAATAAGACTATAAACCCAAATTCCGATTACCAGCATACATAAAAAACGTCCTGAGTTATAGCGCTGATTCGCGAATTCGTACCTCTCGACACACCTTGATCGTCGTTTAGGATACAAACTTGCGTACTCCGCGTAGGCATCGTAACGATTCTGAAAAGATTGTTGTGCCAACAAGGCACCGACAACAGAACCGCCTATTCCCAAAACAGTGAGACTGCCGCGGATATAACCACGGCTATAAAATTGCCCCCACCCCGGGAAAACGGCAGCACGCACCATAGCCCCAATCGGCGAAACGAGCCTATCCGTTCCACCGCTCAGGGTTTCCTGTTCGGTATCTGCACCGCTTTTAGCCTCCTGCGCAAAACTGGCGTGGAGGCTCAACAACAGTAGTGATAGGATTAGAAAAAATCGCATCTGATATAAAGGCTTTACGCACCGAAAAAAGCGCAAAGCCTTTGCTACTCCTAAAAACGTATATAATTACGTTTCGTCCGTCCGTTGTTTCGTCCGTTCCGTTGTTTTCGTCGTTATCATCGTCATCCTGCTACTGCTTGAACTGCTACTCGATGAACTCGAACTTGATGTCGTCGGGCGCGTCCGAGACTTTGTAGAAGAAGAGAACGGCTTACACTGAACGTGAGCGTGTCGAACTTGAACTTGACGTCGAACTCGAACGACTTATGCGAGACCTCTCAGTTGAACGGTTTATGCTTGAACTTGAACGCGAGCGTGTCGACTTGAACTTGACGTCGAACTCCTATACTTTGAACCTGAGTTATTACGGGTGCCAGACGAGAACGACCGGTTTGAAGAAGGAGTTGAACGTCTATAGAGTGGCGTAGTCCGCCGTGTCTCTACGGAACTTCTATAACTGCCCACGCTCTGTGCTGTCTCACCCGGATAACGCCGCTGCTTGCTAAGCGCACCTCCAGAGTATGTAACTCCGTCTACACTACTCCGCTGGAGTGTTGATGCAGAGGCAAGCGAGCGCTGTTTCCTCCGAAATAATTGACTGGCGCGCAATCCGTTCACGTTGTCGCCGGGGTCTGCCTTCGGTGGTTTTCAAGCGCGGTGCGGACGTTTCTCCTAACCGCTTGTACCTTTTCCTTGATGACTGTTCGCAGTCAATCGGCTACGGCTCTATACTGTCGACGTGCTGTTTCATGATTCGCACTCCATCGATTCAAACGCGTTCGTTGCTGATGAACCTTCGGTGTACCACGGTAGTAACACTGATAGGAACCATAATACGGCGAATAACCGCTGGGGGTAGTAAGCACCTGAGTAAATCTACGGTAACGTCCAAGATATCCGCCATAATGTGAACGGATTGAGAGATAGTGGTGATCGTAGATAGGATAACTCCATCGGCGATAGTAGTCGTGGTCCGTCGCGTAATAGATGGGACCATCGTAAAGTAGAGATAGGTGTAGCGATCCCACGGGCGCCAACGATAAGCGGTGTATGCCGCTGAATCACTTTAACCTTTGGCTGTCTCCGATAAGTAGATACCTCAAGATGTTCCACGTCAAGCTGTTCGCCACCCTCTGCGACGATATGAAGTTCCATCATCCATCTTTGATATGACCCACTGCAGGTATCTTAATTCTCTCAGAACGATTTTTTGCTCGCAGGACAAAAGTATCACCGTAGCGTGTCTCCTTAGCATTTTCGTCATGGTAACCGCGGCGAGTCGCCTAGCGTTGGGTATTACGAATCCAAACACGTCCCGCGATGGGTTCTTCGTAGTCTTCAATCTCCAAGTGATGGGGTTCCCTCGATACCTCACTAAAATTTCAATGGACTGTGTCCCTGTTGGAATTTCAAAGAGATATACCGCGCTGGCAATCGCGAATTCGTAGTTATTTGCGTCCTCGGCAGCATTCGCCCAAGCGTGTGAGCCGAACACCATCTTCAAAACGCGGACTTGCAGTAATTGTCGCATTCCCACGTTCTATCCATTCATCGACATCATTTGCAACCGCGATGCTCTCGACTCAATCGGTCCGCATAATAATCATAATCCGCAGCGGCAGGGGGTTACAACCCAGCATTGCACAAAACAACTGATGAGGCATGCTGCCACTTAAAAATAGAAATCCGGGTCTTCATGAGAATCCTCCTCCTATGTTCATTTCCTTCATTTGGTGCTGCCAATAGGCTTCTACCCACTGAGCGCGGTGTCGCGTGAGTATCAAAAGTAAACTATCTAATCAAATTACCATGGAAATGATACAATTTCCTTTAAAAATTGTCAAGGATTAACTCAACGCCATTTAATAGTTCAGAAACCCTAATCACGGTTCACCCTTTATGTAACGAACGGGCTTCTTATACATTGGAAAAACTGAATGGTTTTACCAATTCTTAGCTTTTAGGTATCAGTTCAATACCTCTTTTTTCGCGTGTTCACGGGGCGAGTGGTGTATGTAATAATCGCTGGATTGCATTAAACCAATTCTCGCACATCCGCATCCAGATTTGAAATAGTCGTTGCGCTGATTTAAAGTGTTTTCCACAATAGCACGCGAACCGCTCGTTCTCTCTATGACCGACTCAGCGATTTGGGTCATCGGTACCAATTGAACGCCGAGTTCGGACAAAGCGTTTACATAATCTTTTTTAAGTTTACTGAAAATAGGACCCGTTTTTACGGAAACTTCACTCTGATTAAATGCGTCAGAGGCTGCTATAACCTTCTTCCCCTTAGAGAGTGCTTCAAACACCAGATAGGTACACGGCGTGTCCACCAACCTTAACGCGAGCTTCACAGCCATTGGATACGAGAAGACAGGGAGCACAATTTGCTGATAGGTCTCCACAAAAGTTGTTATATTGCTTAGGGCATTCTCCTGCAAAACGTTCTCTTCGCCAAATGCGACATGAATCGGTTCGAGGTTTGCAACTTTAGTGGCAAGATCAGACAGAATTATTGTAATTTTCCATCCATTTTGTCTGCAAGTATGAAGCTGCTGAATTGGTTCATGCAACTCAAGTTGTGTCGCACCAAAAATAGCAAGTAGTCGTTTTTCGTGTGTAATTTGCGTGGAAACCGGCGTTTGCTCTTGCAGCATCCTCTCCACGATTCTCCTAATCTGGTCAATCAGCTCCTGATTCATACTGCCTCAAAATATTAGGAAACCTATACGTCTCAACCAGCATCGCGTACGATTTCAAGGGGTTCACCGCCTTTTAAACCTGCCGCATTGGCATCGTCAGTGTCTAAGTGCATCTGAAGCACATAATCTTCAGAAATTTTAGGGCGGACGTTTTCAAGGGTTAAAGCACGCTCGCCACGGAAGTGTACTTTTAAAAGGGCATCCTCGCGAATACCGAGTGCGTTAGCGTCTCCGGGGGTCATGTGGATGTGTCGCGTCGCACAGATTGCCCCTTCCTCCAAATAAATGCTTCCGGCGGGACCAACGACGGTAATAGGGTCCGCACCGATAAGGTCACCTGAGTCTCGAATGGGCGGGTTTAATCCAAGCCGGATTGCTTCCGTTTGAGCAACTTCGACTTGGGAGTAATCTCGCACCGGACCAAGGATACGAACCGCTTCAATAGCACGCATCCGTTTCCCAACGATGGTTAACGTCTCATTCGCGGCGAATGCTCCCGGTTGATAGAGTGGGGCGTAGACAGTAAGTTGGTGTCCTGCACCGTATAGAATTTCAAGGTGCTCCTGCGTTACATGGGCATGTCGTGCTGAAACCCCAACCGGAATCTGCTGCTGCTGTGCGACAGCATCACACGCGCGGTTTCCTGCATCACAAGTCCGCAAAGCACAACCGCTACATGCCTGGTCTGTCGTCAGTCTATTAACAACACGCTGGGTAATCAACTCAACAAGGGCACGGTCTGGCATCTATGTTCTGCCTTCTTGGTTAGGATATACTGAACGTCATCGAACAAAGAACGTCCAATGAATCCTCGGACTACATAGTTTACGCTTTTGGCAACATAATTTCGACTTCAGCATGTGGTCGTGGAATCACATGAACTGAAACAACTTCACCGACGCGCGCCGCAGCCTCGGCACCAACATCCGTTGCCGCTTTCACGGCACCAACATCGCCACGAACCATGACAGTCACGTAGCCAGCACCAATTTGCTGATAACCAATGAGATGAACATTTGCCGCTTTCACCATAGCATCGGCAGCTTCAATGCTCCCAACTAAGCCTCTCGTTTCAACTAAACCCAATGCCTCTCCAGCCATATTAATTCTACTCCTATTGGAAATTAGTGCAAAAATAAAATCGAGTTTTTAACTTGTGAGTCGTACAGTAGAAACAATTTTCTGATCACGAATCCGGGCGTAAAAAAGCGGAAAATCAAGCGAAATGCTAAAATCTCACCCTTACCTCACCCTTATAGTATATCACAATTTCTTACTTTTTTCAAGAAAAAACCAAAAACGCGTTTATACGTTTCATGGACATCTGTTTCTGCTTTACCAACTTCGCCCAATTTTTGGTAAACGAGGGCACGCCATAGGTAAACCTGTGTAAGCGCGTTCGGTTCGCCCTGCCATGTTTGAATTGTTTCGGTGAAAAATTCTACAGCGTTCCTATAATCGGCAGTTGCCAGGGCTGGTTCTCCCAAATGTACGTAAACTTGGGCGCGACTGATATAGGCACGAGCAAAGTGCTGCTCCAAACCAATAGCCTGATTCAAATCTGCCAAAGCGAGTCTTAAACGATCTTCGCCACTTTCGATGGAAAGCCGTAGGTAGGCATTACCACGTGCATAGTAAGCCACAGCACTCGGTTGCCGCTTAATTACAGCACTGTAGTCGGCGAACGCATTCTTAACGTCGCCCTGCTCAAAATAGGTTTGTGCTCGCCTTCGCATAACGCTGGCGTTCCACCTTTTTTTCAACGAAGCTGAGTAATCCGCAATAGCGTGCTGTATCTTCCCTAACGCTCGATAAGCATCGCCACGACTTGCGTAGGCATCGGCGTGATACCGATTCAGGTCTAATGTACGGGTGTAATCCGCGATAGCTGCTTTGTACTGACCTGCTCGGTAATGTGCCAGTCCACGTTTCACGTAAGCTTCAGCATATTTGGGTTCAGTTTCAATAGCACGTGTAAACGCCGCTATAGCGTGTGGAATCTTCCAAGTCCTCAATGATACTGTCCCCTCCCGTACGTCTACTCGCGCCTGTGGTTTTTTCCCCCTTTATCGCATCCCATGTTACAAAGCGAGAAGCGAGAATGATAGTAAGAATCAGCACCGGGATCATGATGTAAACGAGTGGTCGCATGATGAGCGTCTTTCTGGCAAAACTATCCCTTTAGTCCGATTTTGGCTTTCGAGTTTCACTATAAAGGTGATGGATATTTGTTCCTAATTTCAGCGCATTTACGGACGGATACGTCTCTGCCAAGTCAATTTCAATGTACGCAGGAATTCCGGGGCGACCGCTGTAGCCCGTCGAAAAAATGAGTTGACTTTCGCCAAACGTCGCTATACCATCTCTGACATTCCGCTTTGGAAAATAGTGAATTGGGGTATGTCCAACGATAAGGATATTCCCGTGGATGGCTTCAAGGAAATTTTTAATATGCGTTAAGGTGTATCCACCACTATAAGCGATCTCTGGACGATGCCAAAGAAGTTCCTCAAGGGTTTTGGGGTTCGGATTGACCAGATCCGCAAGGCTTGTGACAAAACGCCCAGGGCCCCCATGAACACCGACGAAGCCGTTTTTTCCAACAACCACTGTTGGCAGATTCATCAGGAATTCATAGTGTGTGTCTGTCATTCTTTCAATAAAATTGAACTGCTTATAATAGGCACCGAGAGGACTTTCATATAAAAGTCGAATAAAGTGCTCCTGGCTCCGTGCTGTCATCCCCTGTCTTTTGAGCATCGCATAGGCATCTGTGGCAGCGAATTCATGATTTCCTCGGAGATAGATGATCCTTTCACCCTTATCGCCAAGTTGTCTCTGGAGTTCCATAATCCGGTCAACGATGAGTGTATCTCCATAAGGCGGATGTTTCGGTTCATCGGGCTTATAATCGATTGCATCACCGAGTATCAATCCGTAAACATCTTCGTCCGCTTGAATCCGCTCAACAAGTTTCGTGAGTTGCAACCATTGGTTAAAATCGTCCCAGTGTGCATGCAGATCGGAAACAATATAGGCGGTACCGTGGTCGGGTAGAACAACGATGTTCCCATCACGCGTCAGTTGGTTAGGGTACTGCGCGGGTAGTTGGGGTTGGGCGGTCGCAGCGGAAGCGAAACAGATAAAGCAGAGCGTGAGGTCAATTAGAGAGATGTTCATAGGTTTTAGGTCCTGAAGAATGGGTCCATTGTATCTTCTTGCTGCGTGAGTCTATTCAGGTGCCGTCGTCTACGATTCCAGCAGACGATATAGCCGAGAAGTGCAAGTCCACCGAAGCCTCCCCACAAGATGTAGGAATTGGAAAAGAGGGACACCCATCGGTAGCGTTCCGTCAGCGATTCGCGCCAACGGGTATAATAGGTGGTAAGATCCCATCCAACTACTGTTTCAAAAGCAGTGTTGAAATTGCTGCCGGCGTGGAGTTCCGCAATGAGGGCAAACAGAACATCCCTACCTTTGGTTTCAACTAACCAACGGAGTGCATCTTGACTCTCAGCATACGCTAAATCTGCACCAGTTTGTGAACGTGGAAAACTTCGCTCCAGTTCCTGAAGCGGTAGGATAGATTTTGAGAAAATATGCTTTAGCAATGTCTCGTGACGGCTCGGCACCCATTCCTCAGCGAAATAGATTGCGATACCTTCTATGAACCATAGCGGGATCTCTTTGACAGCTTTGCGTGTACACTGTCCAAAGAGGACATGTGCAATCTCGTGACGAAGTACCTGCGTCAACTGCAGTTTCGCAAGGGCAATATGTTTCGGATTTTGGATAACAATACGTCGACTCAACGGAAAGGCGCATCCAACCGCCCAATCCTGAATCGGTGCATGAACGGAAGCCTGAAACTCCTTTTGTGTGTCGCACACCCAGATGTCAATCATTCCCGCAGGAATGCGACTTGTCAACTGCGGCATTTCGGCATAGAAATCCTCCGCAATCTGAAGAATTGACGTTGGGTCCGCTGTTCCTTTCTGATAGTAGACTCGGAAGTGTGGACTCTCTACTGACTCCCAAGTTGCCGATGCTGAAACTATCGGCAGCAGCAAGGTGATAAAAACAATACTTGTGGTCCATAGCCATGAGAATGTTTTTTGATACAATACAGCCATTGTCCATTTCCACTGAATCTTTGAGGAGACAGCATGTTTTCCTGCATCTCCATACATTCTCCACTTAAGGCTCTACCACAATGCCCATAAACAATACCGTTTTTGTCTCGTTATCACGAATTGCAAAGAAAAAGGGTCGGTCTACACTAAAAGAAATTGGTGGTGGTGGCACACTCTTCACGCCGACTTCAACACTGGTCGCCGCGGCGGCTTCAGTCCCTTCTTCGTTGACTTCAACGAAGGTTTTATGGACAACTTTTTCAATATACAAATTGCCGAACTCTAAAGATGCCATCCGACTGAAATCTGCCAGTTCTGGATCAAACGCGACACCCATGCCAAGTGCTTTTAGCGGATCGTTAAGCGTCTTTCCATATTCCAACTTAAATTTAGGCATAACGAGGGACACGTCTTGTTCGTGAAACTGTGACATCCAATTCTCCCAACTTTCGGCGTTCAAGTTCTCCAAAAAGATGTTGAGGTCGGATTCACGGTCGGGCAGGAAAATATACATACTCATCTGCCCATCACCATAAGCGAGACTAATCGCTTGAAAATTCTCTTCCCGGTAGTATGGATACCAACGCTGTTGTCTCATCATTGGTACCTGCTTTTCATCGCCATTTGCGAGATGGAAGGGGCCCTCTCGGGTCTTTGATGGATCGAATTCTTTCTGCCATGTTCCTTTGAAGTAGATAGCGTTAATCAGGAACAACACCGTGATCGGATCAATTTGATCGCCAACGATTTTTTGAATTTTACCGTTTGTATTGGTATCTACCCACTGATTAATTGTTTTTGAAGCACTCGAATTGTCAAAATCCAGTGTTGAAATCTCCGCGCCGAAAAATTGGGTGTTTCGCTGCAGGAAATCTGGTTTGAACGAGAATCCTTGGCGTGCCCAGAGCGAGTTCGCAATCGTAAGCGTCACTTTCGGATCTGATGTTAAAAGTGTTTGGCGCAATCCGGCATAGCCAGTGTTAATCGATTCAGAGTCTAATCCATGCAGTTGCAACGTATTGGTCATTGCCTGCTCGGTTTCGCCGGCTGCGCCATTTAGCGTCATCGCCAAGGCAACGGAAATACTGAATGGTGAGATAAATATATTCTTGTCCTGCTCAGTTTTCCGAATCTCGTTGAACAGACTAAAACCCAATTTAGTATTCGCCGTGACAACACTGCCATCAACCGGACCAATCTCAGGTTTAGCTTCTTTTTTATCGAACATGTCCGGACGAAACTCATCACATCCGACGCATAGTAGCAAAACCGAGCAGAAGAGCCCAAGGAAAGTCTTTGTGACTGCCTGTTTTCTATCCATCTGTACCCTGCTATTTCAAGTAGTCGCGTTGCCGCTTTGGAAACTTACCTTAATAGAGGTGTGCGACAGAACTGCCATAGCCGTTGTAAATCATCGTTGGGTGCCTTTTTCCAGTTCCAATCATCCGTTCACTGGCTTGCGACCAACGTGGGTGTGGCACATTAGGGTTGACGTTTGCCTCAAAGCCATACTCCCTCGGCGCGAGCGTATTCCAAAAGGTGCGTGGTTTCTGGTCAGTCAACTCAATACTGACAACGGACTTAATACTTTTAAATCCATATTTCCAAGGGACGATGAGCCGAATAGGTGCCCCGTGCTGCGGTGGCAAGATATGCCCATAGATGCCGACAGCGAGTAGCGTCAAGTCGTTCATTGCCTCGGCAAGCGTTAGTCCTTCAAAATAGGGCCACGGCATGCGTACGTTTTGTTGCTCGGGTGCCATGTCAGCGTCCAAAAATGTGAGCATCCGAACGTACTGGGCTTCAGCCTTAGGTTGAACTTTTTCAAGCAACGCTTTCATTGGAAAGCCGATCCAAGGTACGACCATCGCCCATGCTTCAACGCACCGAAGTCGGTAGATTCGCTCTTCAATCGGCATCTGTTTGATTAAGTCGTCCACATCCAACGTCATCGGATTTTCGACTAATCCTGATATTTCAACTTCCCACGGGCGTGTTCTGAATTTATCCGTCTTTTTCCAAACAGTGCTTTTCCTATTGGTAAACTCATAGTAGTTGTTGTAAGTAGCAGCAATAACTTCATCAGTCATCTGCCTATTTACAGTGAAACTTGCATTATTTTCGGCAGCAAGTTTTTGCGCACGGAAGGGCTCCAACTGCTTTTCTACCCCTGTATTCTGCGCGCACGCGCTTGAACTTGAAATGAGCAATGTACTCGCGCTCGCTATCCCCAAGTCTTTGATGAATTTCCGACGATCCATATAATCTGATTCAGATGTCACCTGATTTTCAGGGGTTTCCCATCCCTTTGGAATTTTAATATACGCCATGAGATTTCCTCCGTTGTAATTTGTTGTAATTTATAAGGACAACGATTCGACTATCTTCTTTTATTTTACTTTGCTTAGAAGACGGAGAGCGACACTTCAGGATGCTACAGGTGCAGGAGCGGGACTTGCCAAATAGTATATCTTATTCGCATCTGAAATGCAACTAAAATTCAGCTTTTATTCTGTATTTAACGGATCCGTCGCCGAATCCTCGGCTCCAAATTGTTTCTGCTTATGCCACGCTTTCATTGACGTGTTTCCTTAGCAAAGCGCGTTACACCCGTGTAACATTCTCCTTCGGTGTGGTCTCAAACGATGTAGCAGTTCTATAAAAAACGAGACTTATCTTGCGAAGTTGACCAATAACTTCCTGTGAATAAAAAAGGACACTAAAATTAAATTCCTTAGGCTGCCTTTTTCTTGCAATTCTTGCAACTTTTTTAGATTTTTGGGTGTATCGTATGAGGAAGCCATTTTTTCTTGCAACTTTTTTAGATTTTGGTGTATAATACCTTAAAGTGTTTTATTCGGTTGCCACTTTCTGACGAAACAGCGGAGTTTAATGAACTGTGTTACAAAAACATCGGCAAATTCTCATTCTACTTGTGGGACTATTGTACGTTTATTCAGTATGCCCATTTCTTTGTGCAACTTTAGAACAAAAGTCCTGCCACAAGGCACCTCAAAAAGTCCTGGTCGGAGATACCGAAACCCGATCAACCTGCTGCCAAGACACCAAAACAGACGCAGCGGGTGATGCCGAAACTCCATCAGAGAGCGGTAATCCGTTCTGCTCAAAAGATTTGGAAATTGCTCTTCCAGACGATGGATACAACACGCACGAATTACGTGAATCAATTGAGCAGACGCTCGTCTCAATTCTTCCTATCTCAGTAACTTTGCCTGTTGCACCATGGGAATTGTTCAAGAATTCCCCAGTGCCTCTAACCGCTACGTTTTTCCTCGACCATTCTCTATCTCATAGAGGCCCTCCATTTGCCCAGTGCTAAGTGAGTTCCACCAGGAATTCTTCAAGCACTCACCTATTCCTTGATTCCACTATTTTTTCATACTATTCATTTTAATTTATAGGACTTCCGCAGTTAACCCGTTTTCGCGCAGTCTTTGGTTCGTAGTCGCGCACGGAGACAAAAATGAAAATGTAAACATTTTCATCTTTTCTTCCTGCATTGCACTTTCTTGGGGAATATCCCCTCAATTTTGACGTGGAAGCTAATTTTGCGTAAGTCCTGGTACATTTTGAGTTATGTTGCATAGTGTGTTGCATCTGCCTGTCAGCACACTGTCCAAATCCCAGCAAAAAGACTTTCACGTAATAATGCTGGACAACAAGTAAGGCAGAATAAAAAGGAGAAACACATGAAAATGAAATTGACACGGCGCATCGTCGCCTCTTTCTTAGCAGCCCTAACCGTTCTACTGTTTTCAGTCTTTTCGCTTAAAGCGGAGGATGCACACGAACACGACAAAGCCCATCACCACGGCGATCACACAACTGTTGGTGAAAAAGTGCGGTGTGCAGTTGATGGGATGATGATGAAGGCTTCGGCGATGATCAAAGTCGAACAGGACGGAAAAGCCTACTATTTCTGCAACGACATGCAGGCAGAGATGTTCAAGGCGGATCCAGATACGTACCTCCAGACAATTTCAGTGGGAAATTTGACATTTGATCTCAACGTGCTAACTATGGATGCGTACAAGATGATGATGTCTCACATGGGAATGGGGGGCATGATAAAAACCGACGAGATTAAAGGAAAAACGCACTATTTCAGTATATACCCGACGCAAGATCATGCGGAGATTGCGTTAGGCGATGTTAAACTCGCCATTCAGGTTACCAATACTGAAGGGGAGACGAAGATGACACTACTGAAATATAGCAAAATGATGAGCACCTACGAAGGGTTCATTGCTATGCCAAAGGGTGAAAAGCACGAGGTTCGCATTCGCGTGACGAGCCCAGCTGTCAAGATTTCACTTTAATGTGGCTATCGGCTATCAACAATCGGCTATCAGCAAAGAGATTTCCTGATAAGCCAGAGTCCTCTTTCTGACGGCTGATTGCTGACGGCTATTCTTCTGAGAACTGAATTGCCTATTCTGTCAAGGAGACGATAATGCGTGAAGTTAGTTTACTCCATCAAGTGACAGCAATTGTTATCGGCATCATACTGGTGTTAGACATTCTAATGCAAACGGAAGCACATGGGATGACTCAGACAGCAGCGATCCCGGAACAAACCGATATGACAACTCTATTTGCTGAAACCCTTGAACTGCCGAGTTTAATTCGAGTTGCTGTTGAACGGAATCCAAAAGTTAGTGCTGCAAAGGCACGGTGGCAGGCGACAATTGAGCAATACCCGCAAGTGACAGCATTGCCCGATCCGATGTTCATGTACGGCTACTTCTTGCGAAGCGTGGAGACGCGGGTCGGACCTCAACGCCATCGGGTTAGTTTTTCACAAGCATTTCCATACCCGGGGACCCTTGATGCAGCCGGAGAAGTTGTCAAAAAGGCAATTGAGATTGAACGTGTGAAGCATGAACAGGTGATACGTGATCTCATTGTTGAACTGAAACTGAGTTACCATGAATTGGCATATCTTCAGCGGGCGGTCGAGTTGACGCGGCAAAATCATGAACTGGTAGTCTCTATTCTCACGATTGCCACTGCACGCTATGCGGAAGGAAAGGCAACACTCAATGATGTGCTGAAAGCACAGAGCCAACTCGCGCAGTTGGAATATGATTTTATCCTGTTAGAAGAATTACAGCGCGTTGAACATGCCAACATCAATGGAATCCTGTCTGTTCCTTCAGCGACGCCGCTTGGTGCAACGGTGCCTGTTGCTTACGAACCTCTTGATGTGACGTTAGCCGATGTGGAAAAACAGGCATTAGCAAAACGACAGGAGCTGCGAATCGCGGCGTTGACTATCGAAAAAGCCACCGAGCGGATTGCCCTTGCCGAACTCCAAACCAAGCCCATGCTTAAGTTTGACTTAATGACAATAGAAACGGGTGAAGCCTTGATGTTAGACGCACCCGGCAGTGGTAAAAACCCGTTTAGCATCGGTTTTGGCGTGACAATTCCGTGGTCAAGTTTGAAGAACAGTAGCAAGGTTCGCGAGGCGCAGCAAAATCATGAAGCTGTCACAGCGAACAAGCGCGTCTTGGAGGATGAAACCAAAGTTGCCCTCCAGAAGGTTTATTTTCGTCTTGAAAACGCTCGGCGGCTTGTCGAACTCTATGAAACCACGCTTATTCCGCAAGCGGGTGCTGCTATTGAAGTTGCTGAGACGTGGCATCAAGAAGGTCCTAAGAGCATTACAGGATTTCTTGAGACGCAGAGTGTTTGGTTGAATTTTAATCTGGCTCGCCTGCGTGCGATTGCAGACTATCAACAGAACGTAGCTCGGTTGGAGAAACTCGTTGGGGGAAAAATCAATGATTCACACATTGAGCAGTAAAGACAAATCACAATATCTGTTTACCCCTGTGGTTGTGCTTTTCAAGCGCGTCCTATGTCGCTATCGTTTTCGCTATCGAAATGCTCCGTTAGCTTACGCATCGGTCTCATAATGCTCACTGTTTTGGTAGGCGGGTGTGCCAGCCGTCGGCTGGAGACGTACCAAGAGTTGCGTGGTGCTGAGATACAACAACCGGCGTACTACTATACCGAAGTCGAAAAAAAGATTACCCATACTGAAAATGAATCGATCGCAGAACCCGACCAGGTTCTCAGCGAGGTTGAGTCGAAGGTGTTGAAATATCAGAAACAGTGGCAAGCCCAATTAGAAAGTGAAACTCCGATGCCAAACCTGTTTTACGATCTTTCGACGGACTCCATGAAGGCTTACCGACAGTTAGCAGCTTCCCCTGAAGCGGCGAAAGCCCAGCTTGCCCAACCGATTGCGTTGGAACTTCTTGTGGCATTCGGATACGAATGGGACCCGGGTTTGAAATCTGCCCGTGAAAAAATTCGGGCGGTACTGGAGCAGTATCCCCAAGCTGTTTACTTAGAGAATGTGTTGCGTCAGTATAACGCTTTCACAAAACAACTTGATACAAAAGTTGGTCCGTTGACCCATAAAGAGATGATGGCAATGAAATTTCCGTTCCCAGGGACCTAGCCTTGAAAGGACAAGTCATCACTGAAGATGTGCTAATCGCCCAGAAAGAGTTTTGACATCGCCCTACGAGATCTGGTGACCGAGATCAGTTGGCTTACTACGATTATCTTTTTGTCACTGAGGCAACCCTATTAACGAAGAGAATCAGAAATTACTACAGCAGATGATTGCTATTGCTCAGGCGAAGTTTCGGGTCGGACAAGGCAAATATTCAAACGTCATTATGGCACAGGTAAGTTTCGAAATTGGTAAATGCGATTATTACACTTGAACAACAGCGGGAAACTATTATTGGCACGCATTATACGTTGTTAATAGTTCTGCGGATTTACCGTTAGGGGTCCCTGTACCCATGAAGAAGATCGCGTTATACCTACTTTGGCTGAGCTGTATGAGTTAGCGGTTGAGAGCCGTCAGGAATCCAAAAACAGAAGTTGGCAATCAGTAAGATGGCTGTGGTTTGTAGAAATGTCAAAGCAAATGACCTATCCTGACCCGACCCTCGGTGCAAGTCTACTTTGAAAACCGGGGTATAGTGGACTTGAAACACACACAAAAAATGCCAATGACATTTTCCACACGACGAACATTGAATCCGGCAAATGCAGCATGGTTCGGACACCGAAATTCGTACATCCATGAATTGGATGTGAAAATTGAGGCGATGGAACACCAAATTGAAAAACTCGAAAGCAATCTCCGCTTTGTTGTGAAAAAACATCATTTTGGAATGGAGACAGCAAATCGGAGTATTCGTCTCTACCGCCAGACGCTGCTTCCGCAAGCACAGCAAGCTTTGAGTGCCGCGAATACAGCGTATCAAGCGGCGCAAATTGATTTTTTGAGTTTTCTTGATATCCAACGCACTTTATTAAATTTGAGGATTGAAGAGCAGCGGGCGTTGCGTGATTATCGTCAACATCTTGCACAGTTGGAACAGGCAGTTGGCGTGATATTGCCCAAACAACCCCTATAGACATTGCACCCCGCTGGGGTGCTTAAAAGGAGTTCACAAAATGCTTAGAAATTTCTGCCTCGCAACTACACTGATAATCACTATACTTTTCACGTTTGCCTGTAGTCAGCAAGAGAACGCTGAAATGGAGCACCATGTTAGTGCAAGGCTTGACACAAAATCGGAGGAGAACACCGGAGGTGTGGATGAACACGCTGGTCATGCAGAAATGGCGACATCTGATGCAGAAATGGCGATGTCTACTGACGACGGAAAAAGATTCGTTTCTGGACGTGTGTTATGCACCCTACAGTCAAAATGCAAGAGCCGGGCAGTTGCCCAGTCTGTAAAATGGATCTTATTCCTGTTTACGAGGGTGCAGGACTGGAACTCACTGAGCAACAGAAGGCACTGATTCCAGTGCGCACTGAGTCTGTCGCTTTCCGCAAAGTTGAGCGTGAAATCCGAACCGTCGGTGTCCTTGATTACAACGAAACCCGGATGGCTTATGCGTCAACTCGTATCTCCGGGTGGATTGAGGACTTGCACGTTGATTTCACCGGCATCAAGGTGCGCGAGGGCGATGAACTCTTATCTATCTATAGCCCAGAGTTAGTCGTCGCGCAAGAGGAATATCTAACAGCACTCAAAAGTGTGGAAGAACTCAAAAATACAGAATATGTGGAGCTCCTCCGCTCCATTAAACTGAACCTCACTGCTGCTGAATCCAAGCTGAAGTTGTACGGATTAACCGAAAACCAAATAAAAGATATCCGCAACCGCGGCGAAGTCAGAACCGTTCTGCCGCTCTATGCGCCTGTCGCGGGTACTGTTGTTCACATGAACGTCATGCGGGGGCAACATCTCAACAAAGGGATGAATCTTTATCGCATCGCAGACCTCAGCAGTTTGTGGATCATGGCGGATGTTTACGAGTACGAGTTGCCGTGGATTTACATGGGGCAAGTTGTCGAAATTACGGCACAATCGATGCCGGGCAGAACGTTCTCCGGCAAAGTTACCTACATTTATCCGTTCTTTGACACTAACACCCGCACCCAGAAAGTGCAGGTGGCTGTCGCGAATCCGAACGAGGAACTCCGCCCAGGAATGTATGTGACACTCCGCATGAAACCGACGCTTGCAGAAATCTATACCCGAGGCAGTATGTCTGAGGCTCCCTATGCATGTCCAATGCATCCATGGATTACATCCGAACACGCGAGTGAATGTGATTATTGGTATGGATTTAGAGTCAACAAATTCCGATATCATGACATCCGAGCCGATGTCTGGAACAGGGGGAAAGTGGGTGTGTCCGATGCATCCTGAAGAGCAGTCTGATGAATTCGGTGATGCTCTATCTGTGGCATGGGATCTCGTCGAAAAGCGGAGACATCTACAGAGGCCAGCATCTATGTGGGTGTCGTCCGATGCATCCTGAAGAGCAGTCTGATAAATTCGGTGAATGCTCTATCTGTGGCATGGATCTCGTCGAAAAACAGTCAACAACTGGCACTGGTGCACATTCTCACACACATCAGCTCGCGCCCTCACCTACCCTTCATGCAGATCAACCGCTGCTGATTTTCAAATATGTGTGTCCTGATCATCCAGATGAGTATGCGACAGTCCCAGGGCTATGTCCACGTGATGGAAAACCCCTCCTCATGACAGGTGAAGTCCTAACTGTACCCAAGAGTGCAGTCATTGACACTGGTTTTGCGGAAGATAGTCTTCGTGGATCGCGGTGAATCAGGTTTATGAACAGATTGAGGTTGAAGTGGGGTCCCGAAGCTTGGGGAACATCAGACGGCTCAGAAACCAAACGCCGATATTACCCCATTGTTAGCGGGCTTACCCATGGCGATATGGTTGTCACCCATGGCAACTTCCTGATAGATTCGCAGACGCAGTTAACAGGCTCCGCATCAGGGGCTTATGGAGGCGCGCTCGGTGGTGAAGAATCAAAGCCCCCGGTCCATCGGCATTAGTCTCCGGATTTCCTTAGCCACGATCTGAAGTTATGCGTACAAGTCACTCTTAAAAGAAGATTGCGCTAACGCAACATACCTACCAGAAGTGAGAAAGAACATGATTAATCGAATTATTGAAATCTGTATGAGAAACCGCCTGTTGGTGTTAATTATCTTTGTCTTGTCACGATGGCGGGTGGTGGGCATTGAACCGGACACCATTGATGCCCTACCTGACATCGGTGAAAATCAGGTCATTGTCTTCGCGGATTGGCCCGGACGAAGCCCGCGAGATATTGAAGACCAAGTTATTTATCCATTGAGTATTACCATGCTTGGAATTCCCGATGTCAAAGATGTTCGCTCAAATTCAATGTTTAGTTTTGGTTACATTAACATTATCTTTAAAGATGATGTTGATTTCTATTGGGCTCGCACACGAGTTCCTGGAGCGTATGAATCTTGCCCAAAAAGACATGCTCAAGGGTGTTGTGCCGGTCTTGGGGCCCGATGCAAACCGGTGTCGGACAGGTGTTCTGGTATAGATACACCGTTGAAATGGGTGTACTATTGCCCTAATCATCCGACGGAACGCTACGCAGGACCTGGTAAATGTCCGGAAGAGTGAGAAACGCTCATTGCCTCCATTTAAACTTCAACGAACTTCGGCGCTCCAGGACTGGACGGTTCGTTATTATCTCGCCTCTGCTGATGGCGTTTCCGAGGTTGCTCAGTCGGTGGTACGTTAAACAGTATCAGATCGACATTGATCCGAATACTTTATTAGCGTATAAGTGCCATTATCAACGGTTTACAACGCTGTCCGTGGGAGCAATCTTGATGTTGGGGCAAAAGTGATTTGAGAAGAGGAATGATTCCTGATCGGGGCTTGGTGCGTCATCAACAGCATCACGGAATAGAAATAATCGTGTCAAGGAACTAATGGCGTGCCTATCTACGTCAAACCCTTGGACAGTCAGCGAGGTCCTTACTCTCGGCGCATGCCTTAGACAAGCCGTGTCCCCCGCAACTGGCGGGGTCGTGCTAATGCGCTACGGTGATAACCACTGCGCGTGATCGAAATGTCAAGGCGAAGATAGCAGAGCTCGCACCTGTGGCTTCCACCTGAGTACCCGAGTGGTCCTCGTTCTATGATCGGAGGCATCTCATTCACCCGCGCACAGACACGCGGAAGGACACTGACGGAGGGGAATCATCGTCGCGGGATCGTTATCCTGATTTCTGGGGCAAATTTCGAGTAAGGCTCTTGATAGAGCACTTAATCTTACCGCTGGGTTCTGCGTTTCGTTTGTAGGTATGCGGATTATTGGTTTACATCGAATATCATGTCGATGGGTGGCATCGCCATCGCGTTGGAGTCATGGTGGATGCGGGTATTGTAATGACGAGAATATCACGCGACATTTACAGGAGCCACACGTAGGCGAAAACAAACTTCAAGTGACAATCCGTGCTGCCAAAGAGTCGGGTCCACCTATCTCTTTGGCAATGCTCATTGTTATTGTGCCTTCATACCTGTTTTTTTCTCTTACCGGTCAGCCGGTAAACTTTTTCAAGCCGCTGCCTATACAAAAACGTTCGCTATGCTGGGGGCGGCACTCTTAGCGATTAGTCTGGTACCCGTTTTGGCATCAATTCTACTCACGGACCCAACCCGGACCGGACAGGTGCGATCTCTAAGCGGGTGGCACAACTCCTGGCACTGCTAGGTTGGCCCTTGAGAAAGTTAGCCGAGGGGATTACATGGATACTCAAAACTGCCTATCGTCCGACTATTCAGTTGGCTGTAAAAAATATTTTGGACTAAACTTGCTGTTGTTTGCCTTGGCGGTACTGGCTTTTGCCGTAAGCATACCGCTGACCCCTTTCTATAAAAATATCGGTCAGGAATTCATGCCTCCACTCAACGAGGGGTCGTTGCTATTTATGCCAGTGCTGCTCCCCGGTGCTTCGATTACCCAAGCAAAGATGTGATGACGAAACAGGATTTGATTATGAATCAATTTCCGAGGTTTCACTTGTAGTCGGAAAGTTGGGACGGGCAACGACAGCAACCGATCCTGCCCCAATAGGCATGTTTGAAACCATTGTCAGTATAGTTGACCCAGCGGAGTGGCCCCGACGCGCTATTAAACGCGACGCAACAAGTGAGCTTGTACAGACCTTGTTCAACACTTAAAACACGAAGAACTTATAAGCGAGGAACATGCAAGCCATATTAACGCCGGTTTTCTGGATAGCGTTGTTACAGCAACCGTAGAAACGATTTAATACCTTAACGACAACATACCACAATTCTTATCTGTCAGTTGATGAACGCGAGACGCTCTATCGCATCTGGTTATTACGAATCCTGTGGAAGAACTCCTCGCTGAAGAGCGGGAGGAGGGTATGGGACTGGAACATGTCAAAATTGGAGAACCTAAGACTGAGGCGAAACTTCATCGGATCGCCGAGGAAATTGAACTTACCCTTGAGCATAAGACTTACTTCCGAAGGAAGAACCGCAATGAACTCATCACCGAACTGACGGAGGCTACCCGAATGCCGGGGGTTTCACCTATTATGACACAGCCAATACGCAATCGCGTTGATATGCTCGCAACAGGCATACAAACTCCAATCGGAATCAAGTGTTTGGTAAAGACCTCGCGAAGATTGAAGAGATTGCGGTGCAGATTGAACAGGAACTCCTTAAACTTGACGGAGCGAAGGGTCCCTATGCCGAGCGCATTGGAAATAAGCCGTATCTTGAATTTCACATTGACCGAGAGGAAATCGCTCGCTACGGCATCCAAATCCGAACGGTACAACAAATCATCATGACAGCGATCGGTGGCATGAATTTGACCTATACCGTTGAAGGACGGGAGCGATTTCCGATTCGTATTCGTTACATGAGAGAATTGCGGGATAATGTTGAAGCACTTAAGCGGGTCCTCGTACCGTCACCAAAAGGACTACATATTCCGCTTGAGCAACTCGTAAAAATCGAAAGGCGACCCGGTCCCGCGAAGATCGCAAGCGAAAATACCCTTCTCTTTTCCCGCGTTTTTTGTGACGTGGATGTTGACACTATTGGACTGGTTGACTTCGTCACATTAGCCCAAAAGACGCTTGATGAAAAGATTAAGCCAACCTTGCCCCAGGGCTATTTCTACGCTTTTAGCGGGCAGTACGAAGCTGAACTGGAAGCTCGCAGTCGATTAGCGATTGTCCTACCAGTATGTATCGCTGTCATCTTCATATTGCTATACCTTCAATTCAAGTCACCGTCCGCGATGTTTTCGATCTTTTTTGCGATTCCCTTTGCATTCATCGGCGGTATGTGGATGCAGTGGTTGATGGCATACGTGCCAGAGGCACTCGGCGGCGGTTACGCCATTAAATACAGTACAGCGGTGTGGGTCGGGTATATAGCCTTATTTGGCATAGCCGTCGAAGACGGAATCGTTTTAATTGAATATCTACTGGAACGCGTCCGGGGCGGTGAACCTATTGACGAAGCTGTAGTCAGTGCTGGCTTATTGCGCGTCCGTCCTATCATCATGACCACGGCAACTACAGTCCTTGCATTATTGCCAATCATGTTAGCAGAAATTAGCACGACTACCGGTGCGGAATTGATGAAGCCCATCGCGGTACCTACCTTCGGTGGCATGGTCTCAGCAACAGTAGCTAACCTTATCTTGGCACCTGTGTTATTTTCTCTCTTCTATCCCATTGAGCGTTGGGTTCACGAACGGTAGAAGAGGTGTATAAAGATTACTTTCTTTCAACAATTGTAGGTTCGGATCAAACCGTCCATTTCCCGCGCCTAACGTTTTTTGAATCCACTGGATTCGAGCGTTATCTGTGATTCTGATTTTTCAATTGAGGCTTGACTTCACAACTGTAGAGGTGAGACCTGTCCCTGAGAAATCAAATTGGAGGAACCATGAAATTTCTGACTACATTCAGCATCTGTATACTCGTTGGTCTTATAGGGTTTCCAACTGACGGCATTGCCCTTGAACTTGAAAAATACTCGCATGTTGCCAAAGGGGCTGTCATCAGCACGGGTCGCGGATTAGCGATCACTGATGATGAGCTGGAAACCGCGCGCACCGAAGAATTCTCAGTAGGATTTCAATTGACATCTGTCCTCCGGTTCTCAGTCCCATTCGGCAGTTACGCTGTGGATACCCGTGGTGGCAACGCGGATGTCCTGCCCATCGGAATGTTGAACGTTGAGACTGTTGGTATGATGTTGACCCTGGGTGGACGTGGAAAATGGGCACCGTTTATTGGGATCGGAACAAATTTCTACGCCTTTACTGAACAGTTCGCTACACCTGCGAATATTCAGAACACTTTTGGCGCGGAGGCATCTACGGGACTCAACATAAGACTTATTGACAGCATCTTTGAAGTGGCACAATTGCGTGGTTCATTCGGTTACCAGTTCAGTTTTTTGAGACCAAAAGTTAGCGTTCCTACCAGACCTGATGTTGAAGCGTTATCCTTAAACCGCCATAGCGTCACTTTTCGGTTAGAACTCTTAGGGTTGTAGGCGAAGGGTTAAGTTGTCCGGGGTTGTCTTGGTTTCTTGATCGGATCCTTATAGATAGTTGAACGAAGGATATACATAAAAGTCTTTGTAAAACGAAGATCTCTGATAAACTTGCAGGAATACCAAAAAAGAAAACTGGCATGTAACCGACTGACGATGCCCGGAAATCATTGAACTGCTGCTTCCAGAACTTCTCATCCCACGAAAGTGTCTTGGCAGCTATCCTTCATTTCGGTTTTATGTCATCAGTTAAACGGTTTGGAAACCCAATCCTTTAGGTTGAGGGAGAGGTATCCTCTGAACCTGAAGTTGCAAGGATTACCTTCTACCCCTCAACTCCGTTTGGGAGGAAAAACCGCCCTCTTGGAAAGGACCAAAGCGTGAAAAAAACACTTGACTTTTGGTCCAAAATGTAGTATAATTAGAGTATCATAGTGGCAGACATGTTTAGCGTCACCGCTTGGTGGCGTGTCGGTTTCCAACCCACTAAACAGGGGTTAAAACTGTGAACTGTGAGACACCATGAGAACCGATAAATATCAAATACGCGAGCATCCGCAAAACAAACGCTTGGGAAATATGCTCGATGGACCTTGACGATGTGCATAACCACTTCCTGCTTTGGAAAAAACGGTATTACCGCCGCTATGGTCTGTATGCTGGACGTTTCCGTCTGCAACCGCATTTGACGAAGTTGCTCCAACGGACCCATAACCACTGGGCGTGGATCCCCGCGACACGCTTGACGAAGTGATTGTCCGTATCCATATCGGATACGAACGGTTCTTTGATTGGCTTGAAAACGGACGTCGCGGTCGGCGCGTGGGTCCCCCGAAGTTCAAACGCAAGGGACGGCGGCGTTCTGCGAAGTTCCAAACAGGCTACAAGATTTTTGAAGAACGCCCGGACGGAAAGCCTTCCAAAGTTCCCAAAGGCATGGTTCGCCTGTCCTTCAAGGAATGGGATCCCATCAGAGAGAAGTTTGTGTTTAAGCGTCGCAATATCCTGTATCACCACCACCGCGATTGGAAGGGGAACGTTCGCTATGTCCAAATCCTTCGCGACCGTGTTGGAACGTATTGGTTGTCCGTTGTTACAGATAACTCCAGCAAAGAAGTTCTGCCCGCTACAGGTGAAAGTGTAGGAGTAGACTTCGGACTGGAGACCTATCTGACGTTGAACACCGGTGAGAAAATCCAACACCCACAACCCTTCAAATCGTCCTTGAAACAACTCCGAAAACTCAACAAAAGCCTTTCTCGCAAAGTCAAAGGTTCTAACAACTGGTGGCGTGCTGTTCATCAACTTGCACGGCTTTACCGCAAAGTTGCTAACCAACGCAAGGACTGGCACTACAAACTTGCCACTGACCTTTGCCGAAGGTTTGACCGTATCGCCACTGAGACGCTCAACCTTGACGGTATGAAACGCCTTTGGGGACGGAAAGTCTCTGACCTCGCTTTCTATCAGTTTGTTGAGATATTGAAGTTTCAAGTGTTTGAAACATAATCGTGAGTGCTTCAAGTCGGACAGTGGACTGCCACAACAAAACCTTGCTCGGATTGCGGATACCGAAACGAAAACCTTTCTCTTTCGGATAGGCAGTGGACATGCCCCGAATGTGGTTCACACCACGATAGGGACATCAACGCTGCTATCAATATCTTGCGGGGCTGCTTGGGCCCCCCTGTGGAGCAGACGTAAGACCTTCCTCGGAAGGCGGACTGCGATGAAGCACAAGCCCAATCCTTTAGGTTTGGGTGCCTTGACGTCACAGATTTCTTGTGCATGCTACTGAAAATGTTTTTGACGCTGTAAGGAGACTGTAATGTTTTCCCAAATCTATCGGCATCCTCGAACAGGTATGCTGTTAGTCCTTATTTTTTTGATACTGAGCACGCCACTACTCAGCAACGCGCGTGAAACAGAGTCGTCCGATCAAAAACTGGCGGTTATCTTCCCAAAAGCCAAGAAATTTGTTCAACGAAATCCTGTCCTTGCTCCAGACAAGATAGTTTCTATTGAGAAGGAACTCGGCGTTAAGCTTCGAGCGGAAGACCTGAAACCGACTTTCCACATTCCGATCAATAACAAAAAGAAACCGATGGGTTTGGTGTTGTTTGCTGATTGCAAGGGACCACGCGGCGTTATTAAAGGTGCCGTTGGACTGGATATGAGAGGGAAGGTCGTAAAAGTAGAAATCTATGAACATAAGGAATCAGACGCTATTGAAGCGGAAGGATTTCTCAAGCAGTTTATCGGTATGGGCATAGACGATGCTTTCCAGGTGGAGTGGACGTTGAAGCTATCAACGGGCATGAAGATGCTTCAAACGCGGTCGCTCTGATTCCGAAAAAGACGTTGGTAATGAGTTATGCTCTCTTTCTGAAACAAGAACCGAAATCTGATACCGAAAAAGCACCGGAGTCTGATATTCCAGAGGAAGATATGCCTGAAGTTGACGATCTCAAAGCACTCATGGCGTTGATGATAGATGACTATTTTGTCGTCGTTGACTACTTTGATGACAAAGAGAGCAAAGAGAAAGCCATTGAGGCGGTGAAACGCCTCGCTAAATATGCGAAAAGCATCTCAAGCTTCGAGCCACCCAAGAACGCAGATCAGACCGAGGAGTATGTCTATCTGCAAGACAAGTTTAGCGAAACCCTCCTTAAATTCGCTGAAGCACTTGAAAAGGAAGGTATTTCTGACGTAACGCGCGAGCAGTGGGACGGTATTGTTGAATTAGTCAATCAAGCACACCTCCGGTTTAGCGAGGAGGAGATTGACTTGGACACATATTAGCTGCGAGTGCCGCAGTTTCTGGTTGAATTTTAAACGGAGACGACATGACATTTTTTAAGCAAGTTTTGGTTTGCAAGTTGCACCAAAAGAGTTGGATATACTGCTTACTTGCAGTGTGTGTGTTGGTATCCACATTGCAAGCATCAGCGCAGGTTCGCCCGCCTCGACGGAAACACAGGATCATGGTAGATCCGGAGGCGAAGAAGGAAAAGACCCTTAAGGCAGATATAGGGGCAAGTCTCAAGGACATCGCAAAACGGGCAACGCAATACATTGTCCCGCAAGCCTCTATAGGCTTGCGCCACCCAAAAGTGGATGTAGTATTCGTCGTTGACGGTAGCAGACAGATGTCAGGACATCTCGCCGACCTTGAAAAGAGGCTCGTCGATATGCTCACCGTTATAGAGGCGAAAACGATGGATTACAGATTTGCGTTGGTGAGCTTTCATTCAGTATACGGAGAACCGCGCGTCAATTTCCATCAATGGACATTTGACTATCTCAGCATTGAAAATGCTTTCCAAGATATGCGAGTCGAATCCGGAAACAACATTGAATCTGGGTATGGACTTGATGCTGTCGTGAAAGGTCTGAACGGGTTGGAATTTCGAGAAGAGGTTATAACGCAGTTCGTCGTGGTAACCAACTCTCGGATGCGTACCGCGTGGACAGAAACAAAGGCGAAAAGTAAAATTAGCCAACAAATTATCGACCTTTGTCGGAAAGACAGCGTCCAGCTCAACTTTATCGGCATTAGCGAAAAGGTTCAAGCGGAACTTACTGATGAAACGGGTGGAACATGGTATCCGATTGATTCAAACCAGCGGCAGATGGATGGACAGCGTATTAGGAGTGGTGAAACGATCGCAGATAAAGCACTACTCAGGATCGATGGTTTGTTTAAGCGCATTGCTGAGAATTTGGTTGAGAGTAATCCCGGCAAAGTCGATATTGTGTTCGTTTTCGATTACAGTCGGAGTATGGAAACCAAGACGGATGCCGCATGCGACGGTTTAGATCTCATGGTTTCCGTGTTCAAGGCGGCGGGATTGGACTATCGATTTGGGATTATCCGGTTTTGGGCAGCAGTCGGTGGCGGCGAAAGTACTGTTGTTGTAACCAAACCACCCTTGGAACCAGAGCAGGTAAAATCGCTATTTCGCCTCCCAAAAATCGGCGATGAGCATCTGCTGGATGCCGTCATTGAAGGGGTGCCGAAACTTCGGACCGAGGAAGGGCGCGACCTCGTCCTCATCGTCGTCACAGATGAATCAACAAGCAAACGATCAGAGAAAGGATATACCGCAGGCAGAGCAATTTCTGTGTGTCGAGGCGCGCTTGCTCGGGTTTATGTCATCGGCGGCGTTACCTCTATGCGAAGTAGTTCTATCGGTGATAATTTTCAACGTCAAGTCGCCCAGTTAACCAAAGGCGCACACTATATCATGCCCGGATCCACTATCGCTGATGAGCGGAGATAAGTGTGCTGTTTCCCGTCCTTGGTGAGTTGTCCATTACTGTAAATTAAGTTCATCTGCCGTTTTGGCATGGATAGCGATAAGGACGAAAGAGGTTGACTGTAGATTGGCAGCCGGTTCCAACAGTTCAATCGGTGTATTACTTGCGAAGCTACCATCTTCCCGCCGCACTTTTGTTAAATAGTTGATAGCAACTCGACGGGTATTAAGCGGATCATTTCCAGCGGCGAGTGCCATAATCGCAATCGCTGTAACTTCTGGATCGCTTCGACTGCCCTTATATCGCCCGAATCCACCATCATCATTCTGGAACTGCTTGAGCCACGCAATTTGAACATCAATGTCGTAAACAGGCTCTAACGCTTGTATCACCCAAGACGTTATGAAAACGTCAGACCGACTTCCGCGTTCCAATGCCCAGCCGCCGTCAAAATTAATGCCCTCAGCAAGCCAATCCGCGCCTTTAGAGATCGGTTCAAAGTTCTGTTTGAAACCGAGCTTCCTGAAGCCTGCCAATACGGCAGCCGTGTAAAGAATGTTGTCAGGACTCCGCTCTTTTTCTCCCCATCCGCCACTACGATTCTGTGCTTTTTTTAACCAGAGGAGCCCTTTAAAACGGACTTCGGGATCGGTCTCCGCCGCTGCTAAAGCAACAAGCGCGAAAGTGGTGTGTGCGGTGTTGTTGTTCCAACTTCCGTTATCCCACTGCGTATTTCTGAGGTACATAACTCCGGTTCGGATTACCTCCGATCCAGTGCCCCATCCTGCATCGATCAACGCCCAAATCGCGAACGCAGTGCTCTCCACATTACTATCTCCGCCAGGGATTAGGGGCCAGCCGCCATCTTTGTTCTGGTGTTGCACAATATAAGTTTTCGCGCCTTCTATGGTTTTGTAGAGAGGGGGTTCCTCTACTGGCACTTCATCGGAAGGGAGACCTTCGCTATCCGCGGCGGATCCGTCTTTAATGCCAATCAAAAAGTTCAACGACAGACAACAACATATCAAAATGAGGATGTTTCTGTAGTTTTTCATTGTTTAATTATTCCTTGCGGAGGAGGCATATAAGTTTGGAGTTTGACGTGCGTTTCTTAAATCTGAAGAAACACCCAAGCAAAACCCCTCCATTTCATTTCGGGCTATGCGTTCTTTTCAAAGGAGGGTTGTGATATGTGATAGTTCTAACATCTCTTGTAGCTGATAACAAGTGTACCGGGAGCACAGTTCGTTCTACAACTGACAATTATTACAATTGCGGTTCAATCACAACCTTGTAAACCCCTTCTTGTCCAAGCATATCAATGCCTTTTTCCAATTGATGCAACGGTAGGTGATGCGTTATCAATTCATGCAGCGGGGCGCGCGTTATCTGGAGGTAGTCCAACGCTGTTTGAAATTGAATCTGCGGATATGCCCATACACCACAAACATCTAAGTCTTTGTTGCAAATCTGGTGAGGTCGGACCTGAGTATCTCCAGAATCAGTGTAATGTCCAACCTCGATAACCTTTCCGCCTCGTCTCACTACGTCTAATGCTTCGGAGAAAACCGCTGGCAATCCTGCACATTCAATAGCGATGTCCACGCCGACACCGTTTGTAAGCTCCTGAATCTGCTCGACCCGTTCTTCAGGCGTTGTATCCCCGACGTTGATGACCACATTCGCTCCCATCTGCTTCGCCATCTCTAATCGACTGTCAATGAGATCAGTGGCGATGATAGTACCAGCACCGCTATCCCGTAATACAGCGACGACGAGGAGACCAATCGGTCCACATCCGAGGACTGCAACCCGACTCCCGATGCTGTATCCATCTCCGATCTGCGGCAGACCAGGGGCACACGCGCGTTCAACGGCACGTGTCGCAACCGCTACCGGCTCCGTCAATACGCGAATCTCGTCTGGGACACTTTCCGGCATCTTATAGACCCAGGAGTTGCCGTGAATATAGGTATACTCAGCAAATTCGCCGTTCAGATACGGTGGTGTTTCGCTGTTGCTAAACCCATAAATAGTCCGCCCAGAACACAGGGTTGGACGACCCGGTACATGCAAACAATAATAGCATCTGCCACAGTTTTTTGAGCCAGGCACCACAGTCACACGGTCGCCGGCTTTGATGGGACCCCCCATCACATTCATAACCTGATTCGCATTTTTGCCGATCTCAGCAACCGTACCAACGACTTCATGTCCTGGGATGACCGGAAATTTTAGGGCAGTGTGCCCAAGATACATGTGTTTATCACTTCCACAAATGCCGACGCTGTCCACCTGTAAGAGGAGTGCGTCATCTGCGGGTGTTGGTTTCTCAAATTCGCGGATCTCTATCTGCCCGGGTTGGAGCATTACCGCCGCCTGAACTTGCATAGTTAAAGTTCCTTATCTTATTTTTTATAGTTTATAGACACCATTTATCGTGCCCAGAGCGGAATTAATATCTTTGTCAACTGTGCCAAACTCTCCAAATTATGTGCCGGAAGGAAGTAGTCCACGTATGGCAAAGCCGTACGAATACCTCGGCAAATCGGCTGATAACCGTCGCTGCCGAGCAACGGATTGAGCCAAATTAATCGGTGGGCATGCCTGTGGAGCATCTCCATAGAACGACGCAACACATCTACATCGCCTCGATCCCAGCCATCGCTGATGAGGATAACGACTGAACGATATGCCGAGAAAGAGGGAGCAAATTGCCGATAGAATTCCAGCAAGCTTTCGCCTATCTTCGTCCCACCTGACCAGTCCGGCACGACATTCGAGACTTCATTCAAACCCTCTGCCAACCCTTTCCGCCGGAGGAGCCCTGTGATATCTGTTAGGTGTGTGCTGAAAACCGCAACATCCACCTCTCTTAATTCCTGTTGCATGCCGTAGATGAATTGGATGAGAAACTTGGCATAACAATCCATCGAGCCGCTCACATCACAGAGAAGCAGAATTTTGGTTTTCTTAATCTTTCGCTGTTTCCGAATTAATTCAAGAGGTTCGCCGCCATGTACGAGACTTTGTCGCCAACTTCGACGGAAATCGATAATTTTCCCCTTTTTGCCGACGATCTTTCGCCGACTGAGTTTTGTCGCCAACACAGCTGCCAATTTCGCGACGATCTCCCGTGCTTTCTCATATCCTCCCTGTGTGAACTCGCTTAAAAATCCTTCCGATCAGGAGGATCCTCAGCACTATAAGCGACCGGATCGTCTTCCTGTCCTTCCTCATCATCCTCTGTCTCGGTATCCAACCACTGATCCAAGATGTCCTGCTCATCGTTTGCATCAGAGAGTTCTTGGAGACTGGACGGCTCAGGCACTTCTCTCTCCGTATCAACAGTTTGGAACTCTGGACGCGGGTATCTCCAAAATAGGTTGAAAGCGGTGTCAAACGTCTCACGGTCTGCTTCTCCAGCGATGAGGTTCGTGCGCGCTGTATGATAAAATGCCTCCCGCTCACCGATGTCAATCAGTTGAATGCTCTCACACCAGCTCAACTGATTGGTCGTTGTCACATTGACACCCATCTGTCGAAGCAGACGGCAGAAATCTGTAATTTGTTGAAGGAGGGTTTGTTCAGTCATTTTCCTATTATCATTGCAGTGGTTTAGCGTTTGCTTTAACTTTATTTGTTAGGGTACCATACGTGCCTCTAAAACCCATTCGATACGCGGCCCTGTGTCCGATTTTCAGTAGGTAAATCACAGCATCAGGATGCTTCGCGAGGAGGCGAGTAACAGCTACCGTACCGTTGAGGTCAATTTCATAATCTTCCGTTTCAATATCAATCGCCAGGAATTTTCCATTGTGGTGTGGTTCGACCTCGTCTCGGAGTCGCTGATATATCGTTTTCCCGCGAGTCGCAGTGGTTTCAGTTGTGTGGTCTGAATATGGCATTGTGATTCTCCCAAAGTTGCGGGCTTTATTTTAAAGCCGGATATAGTCAGTCATTTTCCTGTTTTTCTAAGTAAGCGATGAAGGCATCAAGTTCTTTGGAGAGAGTGCCGAACAATTCACCGATCTGCTTGGCGTTTTTCTCTGTTCTTTCGTAAATCAATTCTTCTCCATAGATATTATTGAAAACGTGACGAAACTCTAAAAATTCTGCCAAAACCTCGAATATTGCTTCAGAAATCACGGGTTGCCGTTCCGCTTGTGATTCTGACATCTGTATTAGTAATTCCTTGTGCCATCTACTTCCGTCAGGTATGCGTAAGTCAATATCCATGGCAATTTGTTTAAAAATATTCTCTATTCCTCTATCAGCAGTCGACAAGATTTTTAGCAATCGTCGTTTCTATCTCTTCTCTGTATTCAATAGGGGCAGTTTTGATTTTCTCTAATCGCTCTGTGATTTTTTTATGGTGCCTTCTATTCTTAACGCTCATCGAGATCAGATACGTGTATCTCAGTGCTGACCTGTCACTTGTAGATGCTCCTTTTTCGCTCGGAATCAGTTGATTCTGACTTTCTTTACACGAAACAGACCTTTACAATCTTTTGAAATCAACCAGATCCACCTGAATAATGCCGACTGATGTCGGATGCACTGATACTGCCCGAAATACTTGTCATTTGGAATGGCCCCAGACAGCGATATCGATATCGCCACCATTTTTGAGAACTGCCTTGGTCTCTGCGAGCGACCCAGAAAACGCGACTTCCGGTGTTGCGCCCAATCTTTATGTAGAGTGCCGCGGCGATCCGAGATGTGCAGTATCCCACTGCTGCGTTGCAGCAACGCCTCACTTCCACTTCCGGTTTTGAAAGTTGCTGGTCGAGCCGCTGTCGATATTGCGCTAACTTTCAGGCGATAAATCTTTCGTTGTGCGATGGGTGTCTGTGGGTTGATGCCATACTCGCAATCTCCTCAGAGAATAGGATAGCACGCAGGGTGTGACCGTGACCAACAAAAAAGAGACGGGATAAACTTTGTGCTTTTCCGTGCTCCATTTGTCAGCTCCGTAATTGTAGATTACTATAATTTGACATCCAGAGCCAGTTGCGACGCAGTATGTGTTCAATTACTTCGTCAGAGATATTTACGTTGTGTTTAATTCTCAAGTTCCAACTTCTCATAAAGGGTGTTGTAATATGCGTGTGACATTAGTGAGTCCCATCCATTTTCAAATAGGCGTCAGAGGATGAAATGCGAAAGGAGGGCACTCTCAACGGTGACGTGAAGCACGCGATTCGGTGCGGTAATTGCTGCTCTCTATGGCCAGAAAGAAAGAATTATACATCGGTTGTTGCGTTACCACACTAACAAGACTCCAAATACCGCCGACGGTGAAATCACCTAACATCAAACCGATGGCGAACATTACCAACTGCTGTGCGAGGCACGCGGTCCACTCATCTTCAAGACCGCCCACTTGATAATCGAACTCACCAGCATACAACTCCACAAATATCGCATGCCCCAATCACTGGAGACAACGAACCCGATCGGATGGAAGGGCCACCAGAAGAAACGCGCCCGCATAAACATCAAGAGCGTCGAAAAGAGTAAGCCAAACACGATACCGCCAGTGGCGTAGAGATTCGGCTCCGTGGGATAATAGATCCAACGTTGGAGTCCGTTGAAGACGCGCCCACCGAAACCGGTTGCCCAACCGCTGCCACCACTCATGTTCAAAGCACCATAGGTATAGAAGATATAGAGGATAACGCCGAACACCATTACGGCAGCGAACGCTGAAACCCCTAACAAAGCGAAGAACAACCGCCTCGGTGCAATTTCAGAGCGTTCCGAAAGCTTGAAGCCCTCTAACTGATGTGGCATTGGGTTGCTCGTGTAACTCCGATTGAACCAGCGGTAGAGCGTCAGAGCAACGAGGTTGTTCGTGCCTAATATCCGTGTGCCGAAACCGTCAACGAGGATATGATGATTCGGCATGTTTTCCATCGCATGCACAGGAAATCCCTGCTCCGCACGCATCCGCGTTAGCACTAAGACGATGATAAAATAGATTGCGAAAAACAGCGGGATCAGCCAGAGGGACATACCGATACGCTTGGAAAAAATAAAGAGCAGTGCGAGTCCAACAACGATACCCCAAAGTGCAAGCCTATAGGAAATCGGTTCGTCGGCATCCTCGCCTGTGTGGTGACGTGCGATGCGGAGGACACCGCGAAAATGGCGAAGGTTCAGCACTACGACAGAAATGAAAATCCCGATGGCGGCACCGAAACATTGTCTATCAATATAGGGAAATCCCGGCAGACTTGACAACCCAGCGGCACTTGTGAAAACTAATTGTGCCTTGTAGAAAATAAAGAAAAACCAACTGGAGAACGATAGGTCGAGCGGCATCAACAATCCAAGTCCGATAACGAACGGGTAATAAGACATACTGATGCCACCGATCGCGTTCCACGGCTTTTCTGTGAACAGGTCTCCAAACCCGCGCCAGCCACCGATCCGCTTAATCGGTAAGGTAGGAAGTGTCGGATACAGAAAACTAAAGCCATTAAGAATCGCAATAGATGCCGCAATTCCGAATCCGAGCCATGTGATGCGATGTGAAAACAGCGATTTCGTGTTATGGGTAACATGAAACGCAATCTGCGTGATCGGATAGGCGAGCCGTTCGCGTTCCACCCACTGCTTCCGCAAGATGACGTTGATACACAACATCACGAGCACCAGGACCGTCATGAACGCTGCCCAGGATAGCGTCGGTACTACCCAAACGCTGAGAATATCCAGTGTGGAGAGATCGGATTCACCCTTGTAATATCCTGCCAGTGCTTTTGGATCGTCGACAAGAAGCCATCTTGGAAGGTAATCCCAGAAAAGTTGTTTCCACTCATTTTCGGGGGTTGCGAACCAGAAGGCGTGCCCGACGGTCGTGACGAGAATCGTCATCAGCGTAATAGATGGGAAAGCGCACGCCGTGCTGAGCAGGATGTATATCGTGAGGAGTTCCGCATCGGTGAATAAGCGGCGGCGAGCGGCGAGATTGAGAAGCGTGAACCAAACACGACGAAGACGACATTGTAAAACGGCACGGCGTAAGTATTCAGCGCATAACCGACAAGCCCGACTTCACCCGCAATGATCCAATAGAAATTAAACGGAATCAGCACGAGTGTAATAGCAATAGACTTCCATGTCACACCGTGCGATTTCGGGCGTTCATCGTTTCTCATCTGACTCGCGGGGTTCGGTTAGAAAAGCGATAAACGTATCCAACTCTTCAGAAACGATTGCAAATAGTGCCTCAATTGGCTTTGCATGTTCCTCGGCTTTCGCGTAAATCAGCTCGTCGCCGTAAATGTTATTGACTTTGTGTCGGAAATCTAAAAGTTCTTTTAATCTCGGCAAGGTTTTCTCGGAAATCACGGGAGGGCGTTCTGGTCGTCGTTCTGCCATTTGTTTAAGAAGGTTGTTATGCCACTGACTCCCCCTGGGCGTGTGCATATCTACCTCACGGGCAATCCGTTCAAAAATTCGCTCAGTGCCACTGTAAACCTCAGCGAGTTTTTTAGCAGTTAACTCTTCAAAGAATTTTCTATGGCGAGGCACAGCTACTTCAATTTCTCGCAATAGTTCTGTAATACTACTAATGACCCGCTCTATTTTCGCACGTTCATCTGTGATGCGTTGGATGAGTTTGATTTGATTCATCTCGTAAATTGCTCCGTTTCGAGCAGGAATAGTTGGGAGATGATGTTCATAAGGGGCCTGCCTCTCTATGCCCTCGTCGCCATTTTTAAAAGGAATCGCTTGATGCTCCACTCGCTCTCGGAAAAGTCCAGTGGATTCGTCAAAATTAATTAGGTCAATCTTGAACTCAAGGCACAAGTCAGCAATTTCCCAACGAGCGTCACGACACTGGGCATCTGATAGTCCCCAGACAGCGATGTCAATGTCCGATACTTTTGTGAACCCTTCTCGTTCAGCGAGAGAACCGAAGACAGCAACTTTCGCTGCACCAAAGTCTTGGTAGAGTACGGTGGCGACGCGATGTGCAGTTTCCCATGCGCGTTGAAGCAACGCTTTGTCAACCCGACGATTTTCCCATCGGCGTTTGAGGTTTTCTCTGCATTCCGCGAGTTCTGAGGGAGACATCTCTCTTGTCGTAGGTGTGCTATGCATATTTGAAACCTCCCTACCATCTGTCCATTTGAGAACGGGCGAGGTGTTTTGCTTGGGTGTTTCTCTCGCCCAGCAGCTGTGAACGCTTCAATTGTGGTTTGGCTACAATCACGGTCTGAATAGAACCGGCATAAAGATCGCTCAAAGCGTCCTCTGGAAGAGGTTCTGGGCTATTCTTGGCGAACTCAAGTGCCTCCTCAAGTTCTTTTGCGAGTTCCGCCTCAAGTGCCGAGAGTTCATCTTGCGTTATACCCTACTTCTTCGATGAGAACCTGGGTGAGTCTCCGAATAGGATCGCGTTGCCGTTCCTGCTCTTGGACTTCCTCGCGGTCGCGGTAGGATGTCCCCGGATCACCGATGTGATGCCCGCGGAATCTGTAGGTATCGCAGTTGAGGAGCGTCGGTCCACCGCCTTCACGTGCGCGTGTAACGGCTTCGTCCGCTGCAGCGTAAACCTTGAGGACATCGTTCCCATCAACGGTGATTCCCGGCATATCATAGGCAGGGGCACGGACAGCCGCAATATCCACTACCCGCTGATGCTCTCGTTGCGGCGTTCCCATCCCGAACCGGTTATTTTCACACACAAAGACAACAGGTAATTCCCATACAGCCGCGAGGTTAAGTGTTTCATGGAACACCCCTTGGTTCGTCGCGCCATCACCAAAGAAAGACACTGCGACTTGCTGTGTCCCACGGAGTTTAGCAGAGAGCCCGGCACCCGCCGCGAGCGGAATCCCCGCACCCACAACACCGTTGGCACCCAGAATACCGGTCTCTTTATCGGCGATATGCATAGAGCCGCCCTTGCCTTTACAATAGCCAGTCGTACGTGCGAACAGCTCCGCCATCATCCGGTCGCGTCTGCCACCCTTCGCAATGAGATGACCGTGACCCCGATGTGTACTCGTGATATAATCATCATTGTGCAAGTGGGCACAAACACCCACTGCTGTGGCTTCCTCGCCAATATAAAGATGCAAGAAACCCGGAAGCTGACCGCTCTGATAAAGCGTTCCAGCGGCTTCTTCAAATTGACGAATCTCCACCATTTTGCGATACATGTAAAGCATCTGATCTTTACTCGGTTTTGACATAATTCCTTTCCTATTTTCTGTCTCGGTACAAGTGTTAAGACGTTTTGCCAGTTTCATAGGCATTTAGTTCAAGAACTGTGGAATCCCAAACGGTGCTGTACACTCCGGCGAGTCATTCGTAGGACGATTGACGAATCTTGATACCGGGTACGCCTCCATCTCCTCATCAGGATAGGGAACAAGGAGTGGCTGAAGCGTATCTGCCGATTGTTCATCCGGCGAAAGCCACCCCGCGTAAGCGTCTTGAGGTAGAATCACAGGCATTCTATGATGAATCTCCTCTAACAAAGCGTTAGGGGGACATGTAATAATAGTGCAGGAGCGGAGCGGTTCATTCATATCCTCTGTCTGCCAGACCTCCCATAACCCTGCGAGTGCGAACGGCTTCTGAGATTTGAGACGAATGTACACCGGTTGTTTGAGCCTGTCCCCGGGTATCTTTCTCCATTCATAGTAGCCATCCGCCAAAACAAGACATCGTCTGCGTTTGTAGGCGTTTCGGAAGGAGGGTTTTTCCGAGAGAGTCTCCGAACGGGCATTGATCATCCGATTTCCGATCTTTGGGTCTTTTGCCCAAGACGGAATGAGTCCCCCAGTGAAAGAACTCTATCTGTCCAATTTCTGGACGTTCCCCCGTATCAGTCGGCGTTGCAATGACAGCCACATCTTGTGTCGGTGAGATATTGTAGCGCGGGACAAATCCATTGGCATCGCAAAGTTGAAGAACGTTTGATTCAATGCTTCAGCATCGCTTGCAAGCGTAAATCGTCCACACATTTTTCATCTCCTGAAATGGAACAGACACGGATGTCTGCTCCTACAAAACGAGAATTTGTCTTACACATCCTTTTTCGGTTGCGGGACAAGAATATCATCTCTCCAACGAAGACGGAAGGATGGACGCACGAGTGCTTCTGGAGACTGGAGCGTCAAACCACCATCGGCAGTCAAGACGATCCCAGTAACAAAATCCGCCTCATCAGATGCCAAGAAAAGCGCAGCATTGGCAATGTCTTCGGGTTTTCCGTAGCGACCAATCGGATAACAATCACGAGAGGCTTGTTCTTCGAGTGCATCCTCAGCGAGAGAGGCTTCACCTCTTTCGCCAACAATCTGTCCGGGTGCGATAGCGTTCGCACGGATACCGTCCCTACCGTAATCAAGCGCAATGCTTCGCGTTAGGGCGTTCAACCACCTTTCCGGCACCGTAAAGCCCAACTCCTGGATTTGTAATTGTAGCGTTGACCGTGGAGATAAGACCAAGACACCGCCACCAGTTACGGATCATTTCGGGAATACAATACTTCGCACCGAGCCACGGTCCGCCGAGCGTTACACCGAGACTTTCGTTCCATTCTTCCATCGTGAATTCAATCGCTTTTTTGGTATAGGAGTGTGCAGCGTTATGGACGAGGGTTGTTATTTTCCCATAGTTCGACAAGGCGGTTTCGACGAGTGTCTGCCAAGTCGTTTCATCGGCGACATCGCCCATGACGGAGACTGCTTGTCCGCCGGCATCTTGAATGCGGTGGACAGTTTCATCAAGTTTTTCCTTACGGCGGCGCGTGTTGACAACCACTTTCGCACCTTCACAAGCAAACCTATAAGCAGTCGCCGCCCCAATACCACCCCAAGCGGCACCCGCGACAATCGCAACTTTTCCTTCCAGTCTCATGATAAATCCTTTCGTTATGACTCTACAACTTCTCAACTATTATACCATATTTTCCATTTTTGTGCTACAATGATAATAACCGTAATGAAGGGAGGAATTCGTGTGAAACCAACGATAAAAGAATGGCTCGACAATTGTATCGAAAAACTTAAAGCAGGCGAGTTGACCGAGACTGACCTGCGCGGTGTAACTGCCGTTCTGAATTCCGAGAAGCAACTGATTCTTTATCTTTATTCTAAATCAACAAATTTACGCTCACCGCTTGGCGGCTGGGCATTGTACGACGCAACCGCACCGGAGGCACCTATCCTTCCCTCACAAGATGCCCCTTATACATCAGTGATCGACGCGGTTCGCGATGGATGGCGGATCGTCCAATTTCCGCGTCCCGAACTCTACAACTTTTCGGATGTTGACAACGCCTATCTCGCTTTTGAGTTCATTTTAGAAAAATTCGTGTAAAGGAAAAACGCAATGATTGACGTTAAACCCACACTAAATGACTACCAAGTCATGCAGTTTATCCACAACGGTTATATCACATTAGAAAGCATCATTGATGCCGACTTTAACCGAGAATGTGAATCGGTGGAAGGCGGACATCTCAACGATTTCGTTCTTACAGACGAGTTTCGCCGGAACGTCCTATTACACCCGGAAGTCGCTGGTGTAGTCCGTTCACTGTTAGGCGAGAATTTCCTCGTGCCGACAAGTGCGCACCATCACCTTTTTGAAGCCACACATCTCGGTCAGACATGGCACTCCGATGGAATCACGGAATACGGGTACGGTATCACGCATCTCCAGTGCTACTATTATCCGAAAGAGGTGAAGATTGAGGATGGACCAACGATGATATTGCCCGGTTCCCACCATCGACTTGTGGATAGGGAAGCGATCGCCCATTATGGCGACATCCTCGGACAACTCTCCCTCACCGTTCCAGCAGGCACCGTCGCTATGACACGCTACGGCATCTGGCATAAAGCAGGTCCAAAACTCAATGCCGATAGACGCGGAATGATTAAAGTTCTCCTATTACCGAATGGCGATGCCCAAACGGGATTGGGTGCGAGACTCCGATGAACTTCCACCGTATCAACACGCTGGCAGGCATCCTTACGTCACTGAGGTAGAATCCTACCGAGACCGACGGAGAGGCGAACTCACGTGGCAGTGGTTATGCGGATTGACAGAAGTGGAAGAACCGATTCCACCCGTACAGATGTTTAACAGTGGAATCCCATTATCAGAGATCCAACTTCAGTAGCAAGGCAATTCGGTTCTCATTACGGCTCCGAACGCACTATTTAAATTGGAGTAGAAAGTTTTCAATATCGTTTTTCAGTTCTACGTGCACTTGCACCCCTTTGAAATTTGATTCGCCTCGACGTAAAACACCTTCAATATCGTCTTTTAGTTCGGCATTGTTCGCCTGGGTTGCGAGTTCCAAGGCGGTTTGAAAATCCTGTTTCGCCTCTGAAGTCTTATTGAGAGTTCTCTTTGCCAATCCTCGACCGAAGTAGGCACTCGCATCATCAGGGTTCAGCCGAATAGCGGTGTCATAGTCGGCGATCGCCGCTTCGTATTCACCCAGATGTTTCTTTGCTATTGCACGATTGAAGTAGGCGATGGCACCATCACCCTCACGGGCAAGTCCAATGGCAGCATCATAATCCGCAATCGCTGCTGTATGTTGTCCCAGCTTGCTCTTGACGTTCCCCCGATTGTAGTAGGCGGTTACGGCACCCGATTTCAACCGAATTGTGGTATTATAATCCGCGATTGCCGCTTCGTATTCACCGAGATCTGCCTTAGATACGCCCCGACTGAAGTAGGCTGTGGTATACTTAGGGTTGAGCCGAATCGCGGTATCATAATCCGTGATCGCTGCTTCGTGTTGATCGAGTTTTGCCTTTGCGACCCCCCGATTGTAATAGGCATTTACGTAATTCGGTCTCAGGCGGATAGCGATGTCATAGTCGGCGATTGCTGCCTCGTATTCTCCGAGGTTTTTCTTCACAATCCCACGATTGTTGTAAGGGGTCGCCAAATCAGGATCCAAGCGTATCGCAGCGTCATAGTCGGCGATTGCTGTCTTGTATTTTCTCAGCCTTTTCTTTGCGACTCCCCGATTGTTGTAGGCGGCTGCGTAATCCGAATCCAGGCGGATGGCGGCACTATACATCTCAATTGCCTCTATGTATTCACCGCGTTTTGCCTTTGCCAACCCACCATCGTTGTATTCCTTAGCTTTCTCCGAAAACTTTTCTCCGATCCACAGCCAAAGCAAACGATGCACATCAGAAGTCCAGTCAACAGCCTCCTATCTTTCATCGCGTTTCTCCTCAGTCCTTCTACTTTAGATGGCGTAAGGCATCTTCAAAAAGACAGACTTATGTATTTAAAAATTTCGCAGGTAGGCAGGCTATTAACCCGCCTACTGTATTCAGGAATCAACGCGCACCGCACGCTTGCAAACACGCTTGCATGTGCCCACGCGATTCTGCCGCAATCGTGCAACACTGCGCTAAACTATACTCTTTCGCACCGATAACTTCAAGGTTCAACGGACCGGTATAACCGTTTCATGCAAGACCCGGATATAACCGACGAGGTCGATGTCCCCGCGTCCGTTTGCTTGCAACTCAGGATCGCCGGGACCGCGCTGTGCGCCTTTACAATCTCGAATATGTACATGTTTCACGCGCGAGATCACAGCAGCGATCGCCTCCACAGGGTTCTCATCTGCCCGATGAATATGGGACGGATCCATATCAATGCCAAACGCCGGTGACGAAATCGCTTCCATGACGCGGAGCGTCGTTGGTGTATTATAAATGCTTGCACCGACATGTGCCTTGACACAGAGCGTCACACCGTAGTGTTCCGCACGTTCGGAGAGACTGCCCAATGAATCAACAGTTTCGGGCCATGCAGATTCATCGTCCGATGCACCCGCCGGGACCGCAGTTGATAATTGGAACACCTATCTCAGTTGCCGCTTGGAATGCCAGTTCCATTCGTTCTGGATCGCGTGAGGGCTGTTCCATCGCCAACAGGTCGAGTTCGTACTCTTTCGCGAACCGTTTGATGTCGGCAGCAAGTGCTTGCCAGTTGGCGAGCACGAGATGCTGACTCATCCCGTCAATCGCTGAAAGTTCAATGCCGTCATAACCAGCCATCGCGATATGCTTGAAAGCGGCTTCCATGTCGTAACCGCCGAACAGTACTGAATTTGCTCCTAATTTCAAATGTGGTTTCTCCTTCTGTAGGGGCAGATATTGCACCGCCCGCGCTACAACAATTATCCGTTTAATGTCGGAAGCGGCTGTGGACGCACCAAGATACCGCCCTGCTCATAAGACTCCATCGCCGCCCAAGTATACTCAAGTGCCCGCGAGCGCATCTCTGCCGGAGCGCGTAACTGCTCTCTCGGCACGCCGTTCGTGATGTCCTCTAAAAAGGCGTGAATCCTTAAGGGGAAAGTCTGACCGAAGTCGCTGATGCCGGACTCCGTGACAATGGGATCACCAGAGAAGTCAGGGGCACCCGGGGAGGGCCAATAGGTCACCTTCTCGATGCAGTTTTCAATACAGAAGGTGCCGCGTGTGCCTGCGAGTTCAACACTCCACCAACCACCGAGACCGAATGTAGCATCACCACGTTGGCTCAACAGGTAACCAATACACCCGTTCTCAAAACGGAGGTGGATGCTGTTAATGGAGACCATCACATCTCCAGCGCCCCGCCTAAAATGCGGACGATCCATGAAGGCTTGGACGTGCGTCACATCGCCGCAGAAATGGCGCATCACACTGAAGGGGTGTGACAGGAAGGCTTTCACATGAAAATAGGGAAATCCATCTGACCGAGGGGCTTTCGAGGGACTATAGTTGAATTCACCGCCAGCGAATCCCATTTTGTGAAGACAGTAGACCATCTCCCCGATGTGTCCATCGTCAATATATTTCTTCGCTTGCTCCGCAGGCGGCGTAAAATAGTGATTCAGATTACAGCCGAGATAAAGGTCCTCTTCCGTGGCTTTCGCTACCATCTCTCGTGCCTGTCCGATATCGTTAGAGATCGGTTTCTCAACAAGCACGTGCTTTCCCTTATCAAGAGCCTCCATTGTTGGTTCATAGTGCCAACTACCGTTCTCATTCCCGCCGGTACCGACATCGACGATGTCACATGGTCGGGTTCACCCATCAATCATATCAGCTACGCTGTAGTATGCCTTTACACCGAGACGTTTCGCTGTGCTGTCTGCGCGCTCTTTCATAATATCGCACACCGCAACCAGTTCCGCTAAGTCGTCATTCGTGTGACAGTTCGCATGGTTATTGCCATCCCACTCATGCCGACAACGCCAACTTTTAATGCCATTTGTTATAGTTCCTTCCAATGAGATGAAGTTTGATCTTGCCTATAGACGAAGCCTTGCAGTCTAAAATTACGCTTGCAAGTAAGTACGCCCGGCAGCAGACTTTGTATCTTATTATAAGGGCATTCACGGTTTTGTCAACAAATATCTTCAAAATACACTTGACAACAATTCCTCTCCGTGCTATCATTTCATAACAGAGTTTACGACCGCAATCCCCGCAGGCACGCCTTGTAAGCGTGAAGGAGGAAAACGGATGAGTATCAGTGTCGGGATGGTAGGCTTAGGGATGTTCGGACCCATCGTTTATCCAGTCGTATAAGGCACATCCGGATGTACATCGGCTTGCGTTGTGTGACTTAAACGAAGATCGCCTAACAAAATGGGCAAAGCAATTTGAGATTTCTGAGACCTACTCAACCCTTGATGACATCTGCAAATCGGATTTAGATGCCCTTGTGATCATCACCCAGCATGGATTGCCACGCGCCGCAGGCGATTCAAGCGATGGAGGCGGGAAAGCACGTCTATACCGCTGTTCCTGCTACTGCAATCTCTGGATGATGCGAAGCCCTTATCAGAACCGTTGAACGAACCGGAATGATCTACATGAACGGCGAGACGAGTTATTTCCGCCCAGAGACGGTCTTCTGTCGCCAGAAAGCAGCGGAGGGGGCATTTGGGGAATTTGTTCATTGCCGCGCCGAGTACTTTCACGATATGGATCACGGACTCTACGATGTTGCCAAAACCGGTGGGGTGCGCTGTGGGGTCGTGACAAGACCGGCGGTATCCCTATGTACTATCCGACCCACTCAACCTGTTCCCGATCTCTGTTATGAAGCCCACGCAACGTCGGTTTCCGCACAAGGGTTACATCTATCCAACGACGATTGGTTCGGACAGATACCATTCACAAAAATCCGTTCTCAAATGAAGTCGGGCTTTTTACAATGAGCAACGGTTCGACAATGCAAATCTGTGAGTTCCGACGGGTCGGACACCCCCGGATCTGAACGCGTCAGTGGTATTTACGGAACAGAGGGCAGTTACGAGCAAAGTCTGGCAGGGTAGTGTTGGCAGGTAAACACGGAAGGGAAATCGTTGAGCCTTCAGAGCGCCATGAGTCTCTCCGGAAGCACTCGCAGAATGATCTCGGCGGCATGGGGGGTCACACGCCTATCCGTACACGAATTGTGGATTCCGTCAATCGCCAACGATTGCACGCGTCAACGTTTGGGAAGCAGTTCGGTTACTGTGCACACGGATTTGTCGCACACGAATCTGCTTTACGGGATGGCGAACTTACTCCCGATTCCGGATTGGGAGATTGCACCAGAAACTTTAAAACAGAAGATTATCCTTGATTTTTATGGCAACTTCATACGTATACTATACTGTTAAAGGATTTCTTATGCTGGATGCTATGCAAATCGGCACACAAACTTCGGCTAAGCTAATAGAAAGCAATCCGACATCAATCAACGCGCACTACGAATCTGAGGTTAATTAAGGAGCACAGAAAGGCTATTGAATACGCGGGTCCTTATAATTACAATCGCTATTCCGCCAAGATGTTGCCCGCGAAAATTGAGATTTATGAGACTACAACCTTGGTCGCCGGTACAAGCCGGCCAGAGTAGACGAGGGGCACTCTCTTTACCGAACTCTGTAGACTTACGCCACGGGCGTTTACGGG